ATGGACAGCTTGAATGAGCCCTTTTGATCGAAGGACAGTTGCAGGGATATGAGGCAAAACCTTGAAATCTGGGTGTTTAGGTTTGTAGGTCACGCTACAAAAGTCTTAGACTTAATTTCATGTTAATTAAAAGCCTTTTTCCCTTCCCACATCTGACTGTTGTGAAGAATGATTCACTCTCCTCTGTCTTCTCTTTTGTCTTTAACTTAGTTATAGACCCAAGATCTCAGCCTTTTTTTTCTTTCTGTTTTATTGCCTACGCTTCACAAAAGTTCTAGAAAGCAAAAACGAGAGTTTCATGCTTAACAGAGGTGTGAGCTAGAAACCTCAAATTCTCACCTTGCCTACAGTTTTTGTTTATTTATTATTAATATTATCATTTTCTCATTATACTGGTCTTTTCTGTAGTATGGCCTGCCTTACAAGATTATTATAAGGCCGTTGAAATATAAACCGCTTTGTTTCTTCTAATTTCTGCAATGATTGACCTGGTTTATAAGATTATCTGTAAGGCCATTGCCATATAATCTGGTCTGAACATTTTGCAATGTAAGTAGCCCTCAATTTACAGTCGCAATTGAGCCCCAAATTTCTGTTGCTAAGTGAGACATTTGGTAAGTGAATTTTGCTCCATTTTACAACCCTTTCTTGCAACAGTTGTCGAGCAAATCCCTGGGGCTGTTCAGTTTTTTGCAAAAAATGGGGCTGTTTTTGGCCTCCTGAACCCCCACGCGTTGCGTTTTTGCCCTCCCCAGCTCCCAGGAGCACTCTGCAGGCCTCCCAAACTCTTTGTGCATCCTGTTTTTTGCAAAAACGGGCCCATTTTTTGCAAAAACAGGACACGCAGAGGGTTTGGGAGGCCTGCAGAGTGCTCCTGGGGAGGGCAAAAATCTTTTTTTTTTCCTTGTTTACCTCTTCAAAATCTTGGTGCATCTTATATGCTGAAAAATACAGTAATTATCCACTGTGCAATCTAACAATGATATTTAGTTAATTAAACGTGTCATCAAGCTCAATTAAGTTACATGGTTAAACTGAATTAATGTACCCTAACCCTAACCCTGGCCCTGGCCCTGGCCCTGCCACATGCACTTTTCAGGATGCCTACTTTCCTGCCCCCTCCCCCCCACACACCAGGATGTCATTCCAAGATCAGGTATAGCCTCTGGCTCAGGAAAAATAGGTAGCCTTGAGTTAGCAATTGATGGGAAAGTCCCGATCCATTGAAGCCGTCAGTATTGGGCTGAACAAGCTAGTGTGATCTAGTGATCTAAGGCACCAGGCTAAAAACTGGGAGATAGTGAGTTCTAGTCCTACCTTAGCTATGAAAGCCAGCTGCCTGATTTTTGGCCAATCACCAGGAGACAGTGAGTTCTAGTCCCGCCTTGGGCCTGAAAGGCAAGTGGGTGACTTTGGGCCAATCACCAAGAGACCTGAGTTCTAGTCCTGCTTTAGCCATGAAAGCTGGCTGGATGACTTTGGGCCAATGATCAGGAGATGGAGAGTTCTAGTCCCGTCTTAAATCATGAAAACCGGCTGGGTGATTTTGAACCAGGAGACCTGAGTTCTAGTCCTGCCTTAGTCATGAAAGCTGGCTGGATGACTGGGCCAGTCACCAAGAGACCTGAGTTCTAGTCCTGCTTTAGCCATGAAAGCTGGTTGGGTGACTCTGGGATAATGTTCAGGAGCTGGGGATTTCTAGTCCCCTCTTAAATCATGGAAGCCCACTGGGCGACTTTGAGCCAGTCATTTTCTCTCAGCCCAAGCCACTTCACAGTGGTGTTGTGAGGAAAATAGGAGGAATATCTGTCGGAGATGTTCGCTACCTTGCATTATTTGTAATAATAATAATAATAATAATAATAATAATAATAATAATAATAATAATAATATATGTTCAGTACCTTGCATTATTTGTAATAATAATAATGGCAGTATGCAATTTTTTTTAAAGAACCTTCAGAATTACCAAAATTTAAAGCTGGTTTCCCTGATTTCCTTAGGAGCACAGCAGCGTAATAAATATAACAACCAGTTCTGTAGCAAGGCTCCAGGCTCATTACGGATTTGTGATTAAAGCCAGATATAAAATGCACGTTCTCCCTATATACTCATAAGTGTGCAGGCAAAAGAGCCGTCCTCTGCACTCCGAATGGAAAGTCCCCTTTTTCTCTTGCTCCCTGTCAATCTTCCAAGTGAGTCACGTTAGACGGGCAGATGGATGTCGAGCGCTTGCCAGCAGCAAGCTTGAGAATCCTGCTTTGTAGCTCAGGGAGGATGCTGGGATTGTTCCTTTTGCTCAAGATGGAGCTAGTGAGAGTGGCAGGTGGAGGTGTGCGCAGGTAGCCCTCAACGACAAATTTCTGTCGTTGTGCGAGACGGTTGTTTAGCGAGTTTTGCTGCATGCATGGTGGGGGGAATTCTAGGAGTTGAAGTCCCGCCCGTCTTAAACTTGCCGACGTCGAGAAGCACCGCTCTAAGGCGTAATGTTTATTTCTTGTGTCAAACCACAGTCTATGTGGTTTGTAAGCCGTTGTGGCTGAAGGTTGTGTGTGAGTCGAGCTGAACGCAGTTGCGTTTCGTCCTTGTCGTTTGCAAGCCGTACAATGCACACTTTCCTCTTATCACACCCAGAACATTCTCGTATCTTCTATGCCTTTTATCGCCATCCTGGGAAGGTTGAGTGCAGCTTGGCAGAAATGGAGGCCCTTGGAGGAGGAGGAGGAGGAGGAGGAGGAGGAGGAGGAGGAGGAGGAGGAGGAGGAGGAGGAAGTGGTGGACACATCCTGTTCTGTATAAGTCTTTGTCTCTAAGACACCAAGGAAAAACATCCCTCTTGGCCTTGAAATTCTCCTCCTGCGGCTTCTTCCATCACACGTAAAACACTTCGGAAATCATCAACATAAGAGTGGAGTAGAGCAGGGGTCTCCAACCTTGACAACTTTAAGCCTGGAGGACTTCAACTCCCAGAATTCCCCCGCCCGCATGCGGCCGTAAAACGGGCCATAACTCACTAAACAACCTTCTCGCGCAATGACAAATTTGTCGTTGAGGGGTACCTGTGCATACCTCCACCTGCTAAAGGACGAAATGCAACTGCATTCAGCCTAGCAGCTCAACTCACACACAACCTTCATCCACAACGGCTTACAAACCACACAGACTGTGGTTTGACACAAAAAATAAACATTACGCCTTAGAGAGGTGCTTCTCGACGTCAGCAAGTTTAAGACGGGTGGGACTTCAACTCCCAGAATTCCCCCACCCGCATGCGGCGTAAAATGTAAAATGTTCTCCTGTCTGATCAAGGGGTTGGAAGGGTCTCCAGTGGAAATTAGAAGGGGGCTGCCTTCAAAACTGAACTAAATGTAGACTCTTCCAGATGACTTTCGGGTTGTACTAAATATTGATGGCTGCTGGATTAATATTGCACCATCCTGGAGATTTATTGTCTTTCATACATCTTAATTTTATATTGATTTTTATGTTACTCACTGTGAACTTCCATGAGTCCTCTGGGATTGCAGCAGGATATCAGTGTAATAAATAAAATAAATGAATCTTTTACTTAAGGGGGCAGTGGTATTCCCGAAGGGAAGCCCACTTTCACCACGTTCAAATAGCACAAAAGATGTCTAATATTGTGTGTTTTAAAGGTGCCCAGATCCAACTTGCCATGCTATGCCTACCGTATTTCCCTGAAAATAAGTCCCAACCGGAAAATAAGCTCTAGCATGGTTTTTTCAGGATGCTTGTAATATAAGCCCTACCCCAAAAATAAGCCCTAGTTAAGATCTTATTTAGAATAACAGAGTTGGAAGGGACCTTGGAGGTCATCTAGTCCAATTGCACCGCCCAAGCAGACCCTACACCATTTCTGACAGATGGCAATCCAGTCTCTTCTTGAAAGCTTCCAGGGATGAAGCTCCCACAACTTCCAAAGGCAACTTCTGTTCCATGGATTGATTATTCTCACTGTCAGAAAACTCCTCCTTATTTCTAGGTTGAATCTCTCCTTGATCATCCATTATTCCTTGTCTGGTCTTCGGGTGCTTTGGAAAATAGCTTGACCCCCCTCCTCTCTGTGGCAGCCCCTCAGATATTGGAAGACTGTTATCGTGTCTCCCCTGGTCCTTCTCTTCACTAGACTAGCTAGGCCCAGTTCCTGCAACCGTTCATCATATGCTGAACAATTGAGGGAGCTAGGTATGTCTAGTCTTAACGAAAAGAAGAACTAGGGGAGACATGATAGCTGTCTTCCAGTACTTGAGGGACTGTCCCAGAAAATAGACTTGACTTATTCTCCATAGCATCTGTGGGCAGGACAAGAAGTAAGGGATGGAAGCTTATCAAAGAGAGATCTGACGCAGAATTAAATAGAAATTCCCTGTCATAAGAACAGTTAACCAATAGAGCAGCTTGCCTACCAGAATTGTGGGTGCTCCAATCACCAGAGGTTTTCAAAAATAGACCGGACAGCCAATTGACTGAGATGGTGTGGGGTCTCCTGCTAGAACAGGGGTCGGCAACCTTAAATACTCAAAGAGCCCCAAAGGTCCTAACCAGAAGCCCCCGTTCAATTCTGGAGCTGACCGGAAGTCCGGTTCCCCCAACATAGTCTCCTCCTACCGCAGCATCCTTTTTCCTCTACCTACCCTAACCGAAAGCCCTCTGTGGTGCCGACCAGCGATAGGGAGCCGCAGCAGAGGGATGAAAGAGGCACATGCGGCTCCAGAGCCGCAGGTTGCTAACCCCTGGACTAGAAGACCTCCAAGGACCCTTTCAGCCCTATGATTCCATGACGCCCTTCTTTCTTGCTGAGCAGATGTGCAAACACCTGCCAGCTCCAGGCAGTATCCAGGCAAGGCACGTACCCTATAAATATTCAAACAGGAATGGCACAGTAAACAGCATTAAAAATAAAATGCTGCTGTCTTGTTGCTCCAGCAATGACTGGCAGAACTTAAAAGTTTTTTTCTTCTTTGCTTTTCTTCGCGCAGGTGTTGGCAAGAGCAGTTTGCTCCTACGTTTTGCAGACAACACTTTCTCAGGTAAGGTAGGCCTTGGGCCCTTCCAGCATCCTGGGGTCATATGATCACCGTTTGCAACCTTCCGACGAGCAAAGTCAACGGGGGTGGTGGGGGGAACCAGATTGATTTAACAGCCACGTTCCTCATTTAAGAGCCGCAACGATTCGCTGAATAACAGCAGTCAGAAAAAGCTCATTTTACAAATTTTCCCACTTAGCTACATACATTTTGGGCTCAGTGGCGGTCGTACTTTGAGGGTTACCTGCAATGCATTGCAAGCCACCTGCTTTTCTAACTCCTGATTTATCTGCGTCATGTTTTCAAGCCTTTTAAAAAGAGGGTTTTTTTTTTTTTTTAAAAAAGAGGCTTGTATTGGAAATATATATAAATAAATAATGAATGCATGGTGTCTCCTTGCACGATATAATGATAGCTTGGTGTGGGCCCTTCACTATTTGCCTTTTAATTGTCATTTCATCTTTGCAGTTTGGGGGCTGTTTATTTTTACGATCACGGTAAATTAAGCATCTTCTTTCCTTCCCTGTTAAAAATGCTTTTATAGTCTGACAATGGAGACATTCCCCCCCTCTTTTTTTTTTAAAGAATAATGAGAGTTTTGGGGGGGGGCTTAAATAATTAGTTTCAACAGGAAACAGTGGGAGGCCAAGAATATTTTCCCTTAGATAATTTGTCAGCTGCTGAAAAAGGATTCCTAGTCAATGCTGCATCATTCAGAAGCAGCCAGCTGTGCATAATTGGCTTGTGAGTACCCTCAGAAACTCTCACAATTTCTCTGCTGTTTTTTTCTCCCCCTCCCCACGCAGGCAGTTACATTACCACAATTGGGGTCGACTTCAAAATTCGGACAGTTGAAATCAACGGGGAAAAAGTCAAGCTACAGATCTGGGACACTGCAGGACAGGAGCGCTTCCGGACGATCACATCGACGTAAGTCTGTTTAAAAAAAAAAACAACCCAATCTGATAACTGGATTTCATCCTGGGTTTGTTCTGATGAGATTAAAGATGACGATTTCTTCTTCCTAGCTCTTGTTTCAAACTTTTCCTCTGCCCCATTTGCCTCATGAGCCAGATTGTAATCCGCGAAAGGTACAAAATATTAAAAGTACAGACGGAAGTGTTTGTGGGTTTTTGTCTTAATATAATACAGTGGCACCTCGGTACTCCTGGTTATTTGGTTCCGGGAGGCGCTATAAGTACCAAAAATGAGTACCAAACAATTTTTTCCCCAGAAAGAATGATGTAGTGAGTCACAAGGCGGATAAATTCAAGCAATCACCAGGAGACTGTGAGTTCTAGTCCCACCTTAGCCGTGAAAGCCAGCTGGGTGACTTTGGCCCAATCACCCGGAGACTGTGAGTTCTAATCCTGCCTTAGGTGTGAGGGTCTGCTGGGTGACTTTGGATCAGTCACACTCGCTCAGCCCAGCCTACCTCACAGGGATGTTGGAAAAGAAGAGGAGAGAGATATATTCTTCCTCCCTCTCTCTCTCTCTCCCTCTCTCTCTCTCTCTCTTTGTCTAAATAATATGCCTAGCATTCATTGACTGATTGCAGTACTTTGCATGGCCCCGCATTGAGGTTAGAGGCTTCCTTGAAGGGCCTTGCATAGCCTTCAACTCCCATCAAATGAAACTCCCAGTTTAATTTGCTCTTGAATTAATGCAGGAGTATGGCTAAAATTTCTGGCTTAGTCTGAGTAGGCCCTCAGTTCCGCATGAGACGGTGTTACAACTCGGGAACTGAGCTCAGTGAGAGGCTTTTTCTCTGTTGCTGCCAGCTCCCTTTCACACCAACAGAAGCCTGAACAAACGCTGAGGTTTTGTTTTCTATACAGGAGGTTGTCATAGAGTCCTGGCAGAGCGAGTTCAGGGAAAGAAAGGATAGGCTAGCTGTGATTCATGGCCTGCTTGAAAACGGGGGGAAAACCCCACAGAAGTCATTCGGATGCTTTGACGCTTAAATCTTTTTTATCCTAGCAGGGATGATTCGTCCAGCCAGTTCTAGCCATTTCATTCTCTCTCTCTCTTTTCATTCAAGCGGGTTGTTCGCTAGGGAAAAATGAGGAATTTTACAATATAATATTTTCACTGGCTCACTGCTCTGTTGTTGGGTTTTTTTTTCAAAGAAACCTTAGAATTGTCTCTTGTGAGGAAGGCAAAAGGTATTTCCAGCATAGTATTTCCATTTTCCCTAAAATAGATTTTACAAGGTCGCTTTGGAAGAATTCTTGAGTGGCCTAAAATATCTCCGCTCTATACATATGCCTTTACCGCAGCCCCTGTACGTAAAGGGCCGGACCTGATTTAGAGCAGACGATATTTAAAATGTCGAATGCAATGTTTTTTTTTAAGCTTTGCACCAGACTCGGGAAGGCAGGAACAAGAGCGAAAGCTAAGTAAAGGAACAGAAATTCCAATTGGTCATTGATCAATCAATTCTGATGGCTGCTGCTTTTCACAGGACAGAAAGAAGGAATTCATACTTGTGATGTTTAGGTTAGCTTGCCCAATAAGATTGAAGGATGACTCAGATTCCCCGGAATCCACTGAGATATCGTTGCACTGGTGAGCCCATAGTTGAAATACCAACTCCCAATTCTGGTCACCACAATGCAAAAAAATAAAAATAAAAATAAAGTTGAGACTCTAGAAAGATGAAGGGTTGGAACTGGGTGTGTCTAGTCTAAGAAAGAGAAGGACTAGGGGTGATATGATAGCAGTCTTCCAATATCTGAGGGACTGTCACAGAGAGGAAGGGGGGGTCAACCTCTTCTCCAAAGCACATGAGGGCAGGACTAGAAGTAATAGATGGAAGATGTTTACATTATAAACAGATTGTTAAAGAGTTATCCTGTAGTTAGATGGGCGGCCAATACATTTTACAGTAAAGGATGGATGGATGGATGGATGGATGGATGGATGGATGGATGGATGGATGGATGGATGATAGATAGATAGATGATAGAGATGGATGGATGGATGAAAGGAAAGAAAAACAGAAAGAAAAACAAAAAGGAAAGAAAAAGAAAGAAAGAAAGAAAGAAAAAGAAAGAAAGAAAGAAAGAAAGAAAGAAAGAAAGAAAGAAAGAAAGAAAGAAAGAAAGAAAGGATGGATATCCTGTAGTTATCCTGTAGTTAGATAGGCGGCCAATAAATTTTACAGGAAAGAAAGAAAGAAGAAAGAAAGAAAGAGATAGAGAAAGAAAGAAAGAAAGTTAGATAGATAGATAGATAGATAGATATGGATGGATGGATGGATGGAGATTCAACCTAGAATTAAGGAGAAATTTCTTGACAGTGAGTACAATTAATCAGAAATCGTGGGTACTCTGGAGGTTTTCAAGAAGAGTCTGGAGAGCCATTTGTCTAGAATAGTATTGGGTCTCCTGCTGCCGGCAACGGGGTGGACTACAAGACCTCCAAAGGTCCCTTCCAGGCCTACGATTCTACATTCTATCAATAAGTCTTTGAGGATTGGACTAAAATATGTCTCCCATTTTTACAGTTTAGGGGAAGGCGATTCTGCCAAACCCCCAAATTAAAAAAAAACCTGGCACGGCGGCATACGTGTATCTTAAAACTCCCTTGTGCACTTCATAAGGGCCGCAGGCAGAGCGTGTGAGTGCACGGGGCATAGCAACCCTGACTTCCTCACCAACCCAAAGCATATCCTTTGTGGTTTGTGCTGTGTGGGCCACCCTATGGCAGGAAATACAGACAGGGAGGGACGGGGAGAGACAGAGACAGAAAGACAGAGACAGAGACAGAGAGACATGCAACCTACATCCATCTGCAACCTACAATGATGGCTTAGGTGGTGTCTAATGCCCACTTTTCCTGTAGGGAAAACCGTGAAAGATTTCTAAATGAGAACAGAAGAATCTATGCCAGGTCTGTGCCGCCACTCCAACTCTCTGTGCAGGGCGAGGCCTAAAGGCTGAGTGTGTCTTTGAAGTTCCCCAAAAGTGTGACCATGTGGTCTGTGCCGAGGATCTCGGTTTTTTTCAGAAGAGAGAGTGAAAGAGAGAGTTAGTTTTTTAAATCTCTTTCTGACTTCTGCTGGTGTGAAGATTGCTTAAGCAATCCACACCAGGCGGAACAGTTTCAACATAAGACTTCCTTTGCTCGCGGTGCCGAACTTCAATATCCTGAGTGCTGTGGGCCAGTTGCACTATTAGCAAATCCGAAGTCAGCTTTGTCCAAGGGCAAAAATCCATTGCCAAGATCAGTTGTTCTCTGGTGCATTCAGATGTCTCCCCTGGAGAAAAGTTCCAGGTCAGAAGTAGGACTCCTATCCACAGTTCCTCTTGTTATTGGGGGTATATTACCCTTATGTATCCCTATTGATGTTCTAAAGCAAGGGTATCTCTGCTATCCTGTCGGGTGCTTTGAGAAATAGGTTGACCCCCTTCCTCCTCTCTGTGGCAGCCCCTCCAAATATTGAAAGACTGCTATCCTGTCTCCCCTGGTCCTTCTCTTCACTAGACTAGCCATGCTCAGTTCCTGCAACCGTTCATCGTATTCTGTATTCTGTTCTTCCCCACCTGTTTCTTCTCTCCTGAATTTCTCATCCGCTTGAGGGAGGCTCCTGGGGGCAGCCGTTGTCCCCAGCTCACAAAGTCCTCTCCACAGCAACCTGATATTTCAAACCTGCCAATTCTGCTTCCCACAGATCTCTTTCGGCTTCTTTCCACATCATGCGCTTCCCCCGTAGCGTTAATGTGCTGAAAGAAGAGCCAGCAACCTGACCGATCTCTTTCTCTCTCTTTTTTTATCCCCTCCACCACCACTTTCCAAGCTCTGGATTCTTCTCTTCTGCCCAATGGTTTTATTTGATTAATCTGAGGATTTAGAGGGCTCTCCGCAGCCATCGTTTCCCCAAGGCATATCCATATTTTCGTTTTCTTACCATAAGAAAAGGGGGACGCGGTGGCTCAGTGGCTGAGATGCTGAGCTTGTCGATCGAAAGGTCGGCAGTTCAGCGGTTCGAATCCCTAGTGCCGCATAACGGGGTGAGCTCCCGTGACTTGTCCCAGCTTCTGCCAACCTAGCAGTTCGAAAGCAGGTAAAAAATGCAAGTAGAAAAAATAGGGACCACCTTTGGTGGGAAGGTAACAGCGTTCCGTGCCCCTTTGGCGTTGAGTCCTGCCGGCCACATGACTATGGAGACGTCTTCGGACAGCGCTGGCTCTTCGGCTTTGACACTGAGATGAGCACCGCCCCCTAGAGTCGGGAACGACTAGCACACACGTGCGAGGGGAAGCTTTACCTTTACCTTTAGAAGAAGTTTGTATGCAGAGCTGGAAAAGGAGTATAAGGGTGCAGAGAAGAGCAACTAAGACGATGAAAGGCCTGGAGACAAAAACATATGAAGAACGGTTGCAGGAACTGGGTATGGCCAGTCTAGAGAAAAGAAAGACCTTGGGGGGGGGGGGAATCATGATAGCAGTCTTCCAGTATTTGAGGGGCTGCCACAAAGAGGAGGCATTATTTTCCAAAGCACCAGAAGGCAGGAGAAGAAACAATGGATGGAAATTAATCAAGGAGAGAAGCAACCTGGAATTAAGGAAAAACTTCCTAACCGTGAGGACAATTAACCAGTGGAACAGCTTGCCACCAGAAGTTGTAGGTGCTTCATCGCTGGAGATTTTTAAAAAAGAGAGCGGACAGCCACTTGTCTGAAATGATATCGGGTCTCCTACTCGCGCAAGGGGTTAGACTAGAAGACCTCCAAGGTCCCTTCCAGCTCTATTCTATTCTAAAGGGGACCGTGAACTCGGGAGTCCGTGGATTTGGGGTCATGCCTTAATAACGCTCATCTCTGTCCTCAGGTATTACCGAGGGACCCACGGGGTCATTGTGGTTTATGACGTCACCAGCGCAGAGTCTTTCGTGAACGTCAAGCGGTGGTTGCATGAAATAAACCAGAATTGCGACGATGTGTGCCGGATATTAGGTAAACTCTCTGGTTTGGAGAAGGTTTTTGATAGAAGAAGGCCCACCTTACTGGAAAGCCTTTATCCCATAATATGCTACTGCAATATGTAAGAAGTACTTATACTGGGAACTATTTAAATTTTTCCAAGTCTCCATTTATTTTTCCATGAACTTGGTAAATAGTTTTAGAGAAGCTTGATCTTGGCTAGTGCTTGGCCCACCATTAACTTCTCCCCTATCGTACCGTAGTATTTAATACCCTAGTATTAAAATAACAATTCCAATCTAATCATGGATAGCTTGCCCTAAGAAGAGAGAGAAAGAGAAAAGGAAGGCAGCCAGAAGTGACTAAGCTTGCCCCTTCCAGAACGGCAGCTGTGAGTTTTATAGGCAGTCCTCAACTTATGACTGGTTGCCTAGCAACAGAAATCACAAAGAACCAGATAGGTTATATATGCTGAAATGGACAGATTAACTTTTAAAAATGAAAGATAAAGATGACTCGAAATATTATAGGACGTGGAATAAATTTTATGAATGGATAGAGACAAGAAGTAGAAATGAGAGGGAAGTTTATGAATGTCAGTACAACAGAGATGTATAAAACGATGGATATAATATGGAAAAAATTGTAAATAAGCTAATGTAAGTAGAAACTTAGTTGAAGTTTTCTTTTATTTTCTCTCTTTTTTTTAGTTGTATTACTGTAATTACTCTTAACATAGCACAATTATAGTTATTAGCTTGTTTGTTAAGATTTACCATTGATTTCTCCCTAGCTCTGCCTTATTTGCATTGTTATCCTGACATAGCACTGTCTTTTCAATAAAAGAAATAGTAATAATAATATAAAAGAAATTACAAAGAACCCCTCCCCCCAATAAAGGGGGACTTACAACCCAGATCTGAAATTCCGATGGTCAGGTCCTTGCTGTAGTCACGGAACCAAACTTCAGGTTTTTGAAATTAAAAGCCTTAAATTCGTAGCATCCTGCAGTCACGTGACATTTTATGACGAATTTGCCCCCAAACCATCACTTATTTCCAGTTTCCCCGGCAAAACAGTCCCGATAGCGAACCATCGATTTCTTTAAAATCATTCACTTTACAACTGACGTGTTTGCTTAATGACCACCTCCCCAAAAAGTCATAAAATCAAGCCGGTCACGTGATAACCTGTTTTACGACCGTCACAACGTGCAAACCATAACGGGCGGTCTCCCATTATGGTCCTCTGTTGCAGTTCCAACCCATCCAGAGGGCTGGAGGAAGGAGCAGTTGTATGTTCCAAACAAGAGATCCTTTTTTTTTTCAAAGGAAGAGATCAAGTATTCCTGTCCTGATTGTATCCTGAATTATTGATGCTTTCTTGAGGTTCCAAAAAAAAAAAAAAAAAAGCAATATAGAAATCCCTGGAGCAAAAAAATAAAACTTTCATTACTGCTAGCCCAGATTTTATACCCGCCTCGAGCCTTCAGCGGCTTCTGATCCATTTTTAGAAGTTTGCAGCCGCGGCTTTGTAAGACGCAATGGATGCAAACTAATCAAGGAGAGAAGCAGCCTAGAACTAAGGAGAAATTTCCTGAATAAATTAATCAGTGGAATGACAGTGCTCCAACACCGGAGGTTTTAAAAGAAGAGATTGGACAACCATTTGTCCGAAATGGTAACAGGGTCTCCTCCCTCCTGAGCAGGGGGTCGGACTAGAAGACCTCCGAAGTCCCTTCCAACTCTGTTCATCTGACTTTTGCTTTCCGTTGCTCTCAACAGTTGGCAATAAGAACGATGATCCCGAACGGAAAGTGGTAGAGACGGAAGACGCCTATAAATTTGCTGGGCAGATGGGCATCCAGCTGTTTGAGACCAGTGCCAAAGAGAACATTAATGTGGAAGAGGTAATCGGGAAAGACGGTGGGGGGTGCCAATTTTGCTTCAAGAGCCCAGCCTAATAGTCAAGGGGGGGGGGGGGCAGTTGGTCAAGATTTTTTTCCAATCTTTTCTTCCTATTTCACTCATGAGTCCCCCTAACCGTTGGGGGGCTCCTTACACTCCTTGGTCACATATCATAGTTCCTGGGCCCATGTCACAGGGGAAAGTAAGGTGGGATTAGACCTAATCCAGCATGTCAGGACTTTAGAGACAGCATACAGCAAGGCTGACCTCTTCCTAAATTTAACAGGATGAGTCTCCTTAGGCCAGGGGTCGTTAACCCGTGGCTCTGGAGCCGCATGTGGCTCTTTCATCTCTCTGCTGAGGTTCCCTGTCGCTCAAAATATGTGTCACAACCGCCAATGTGTGACACCCACCGGCATGTGATTTATTGAGATTTTCAGCTCCCGGTAGGATTTGTGGCTCCCGGTGTTTTCTGTGGGAAACGATTCCAAATGGCTCTTTGAGTGTTTAAGGTTGCCGACCTCTGCCATAGGCTAACCCTTCAAGGCAGGAGTGTCCAACATGCGGTGGACTTCAACTCTCAGAATTCCCCAGGCAGCATAGAGTGCAGAGAAGAGCAACTAAGATGATTAAAAGCCTGGAGACAAAAACACACGAAGAACAGTTGCAGGAACTGGGTATGGCCAGTCTAGAGGAACAAAAGGACTAGGGGGAGACATGATAGCAATATTCCAGTATCTGAGGGACTGCCACAAAGAAGAGGGAGTCAACTTATTTGCCAAAGCATTAGAACGCAGGACAAGAAATAATGGATGGAAACTAACCAAGGAGAGAATCAACCTGGAATTAAGGAGAAACTTCCTAACAGTGAGGACAATTAACTAGTGGAACAGCTTGCCTCCAGAACTCCATCCATGGAGGCTTTTAAGAAGAGACTGGACAGCCACTTGTCTGAAATGATATCGGGTCTCCTACTTGAGCAAACAGGGGAAGCGGTGGCTCAGTGGCTAAGACGCTGAGGTTGTTGATCGAAAGATCAGCAGTTCAGTGGTTCGAATCCCTAGTGCCGCGTAACGGGGTGAGCTCCCGTGACTTGTCCCAGCTTCTGCCAACCTAGCAGTTCAAAAGCACGTAAAAAATGCAAGTAGAAAAATAGGGACCCCCTTTGGTGGGAAGGGAACAGCGTTCCGTGTGCCTTTGGCGTTGAGTCATGCCGGCCACGTGACCACGGAGACATCTTCGGACAGCGCTGGCTCTTCGGCTTTGAAACGGAGACGAGCACGAGAAATTAATAGAAGAAGAGGGCGGGCATTACAGAAGAGTGACTGTTTAGTAGTCACCTGTGGCCTTATAACTCCAGCTCAGGTGAAACGATGACTTCCTGTCTCTCAGCATCCCTGTTGTGGCCCGCCAGCGGCCAGCAGAGCTGGCAGGAAATTCAGACAGTGAGGAGGCTGGGGAGGAACATGGGCCAGCCCTGGAGTCTGGAGAAGGTTCGGACGAGGGCTCTGAGTTGGAGGCAGAGAGGGAGCCAGGGCCATCTGGTAGTTCTTTGCTGCCTCCGGAGTCTGACATCAAGGAGGCAGAAGAACAGGAGGAGCCTGTTCCCAGTGTGCGCATGCACAGAGCTGTCAGGAGACAGGAACAATTAAGGAAACAGGGTCGACTTGGGAGTAAGGCTTGGAGATGATTGGCTCCTCCTATAAGACATAAAAGAGGAGCGAATGGGATGTGAGCTTTTGCAGGAAGCAATTAGTTCATCTGGTCGGTAAAAGCTCTGTGTGACTCTGTGCTAAATTTGGCCTTGCCCTGCATGTGGCAATTAGTTCTCTGGCAGCATTCCAAGGGAGATAAGGTGGGTGTTTGTAAACACTCTCCTGAAAGACTGTTTTGAGAAGCCTTTCGGACTGGGAAGGACAATAATTCACAGCCGTTCAAATAAAAGAGCTTTGCCAGGACTAAGATTGTGCTGTATACTTTCTAAGGAAGCCTAAGTCAGAACAATCCCCTCCCTCTCCCTTTCACCCCAGAGGATGCTGGGAGATGTAGTTCAGCAACCACTTCCGAGCCCCTGAAATCAAGGCCTCCGTAGCTCCCCCTCGTTCCTAATTGCCTCCTCCCTCTCCCCACCCCCTTTTTTTTTTATTGATCTCCTTTCCTCCCCAGATGTTCAACTGCATCACGGAGTTGGTTCTTCGGGCCAAGAAAGACAACCTCGCCAAGCAGCAGCAGCAGCAACAGAACGACGTGGTGAAACTCACAAAGAACAGTAAACGGAAGAAGCGTTGCTGTTAATGGCCCTCCTCCTCCTCCTCCTCCTCCAGGGGCGGCAGAGACTGGGCGCTCGGGCAGCCCCGCCCTCGCAGCCTGGCGCAAGCGATGCCCCAGGACTCTTCCCCCCACCACCACCACCTCCCTCCCCGCGTGCCGTTATTTAAAGGAGCTCCCTCCGTCTTCTCGATCAGGAGGCACCTTACCTTGACCGTGCCAAGAACAGGATGGGCTCGGACGAAGGTTCTGCCCATCCTAAAAGTTTATTTTTCTTCCCACCCACCTCCCCTCTTGAAGAGCATCTTAGTAGACGAGGAAGACTTGGCCTACCGAGGGGACTTTAACATTTGTACATAATGTATATGGGCTTTGAACCCAGCCGCACCTCCGCTTCGGGCTTCTGCCTTCTCTGACTCCGCCAATCATGAATTGTTCAGAACTCTTTTTTTTGTTCATTTGTTTGTTTTTGTTTACGTGCTCTCTTTCCCCCACCCCCCCCCTCCAGAAACACAGTCGAATAATAACCTTAAAACAGGCGGCTCTCGTTGACAGCCGTCATTCTTCATTAGTCTTTAAGCGAGAAGCGGATCCTTGGTTGATCATCGTTTGAAATTCTTTTTTTTTTTTTTTCCCCTAAACTCTGGAGTCGTTGGACGTTCCCGGAGTTGTTTTGTGTTCTCTGTCCTTCAAATTCCCTCCTTTCGAGAGAAGGATAAAAGATCCCGCTTTTGTCACCCCGAAGGCAATTCAAACCTCCGTGGCAGAGAAAAATTAGGATTCAAAACTTGTATTGCCCTCCTGGTAGCATTCCTGTCCTTGTAAGACTTCAAGAACGAAAATAATCTCTTTTTTAAAAAAAAAAAAAATAAGCGTGTATCATTCTGTACCAGGTATGAAGGGCGAACCCAGAAATGTGCTTCTGACGGGATCAATTCTTCGTGGTTCTCTTCTTCCTTTCGCCCTCCCTCTTAATTTTGTTTTTCCTTCAGAAGCTGGGAGAATTTGGGAAGGGATGGCTGGATGGTTTTCGTCCGTTCTCGATGCGAACAAAACCTGCCTCTTGGTTCCGATGCTAGCTGCTGAAGAGCGAATAGTTCTTTTAATAATTAGGTTAAAAACAAGGTAATACGAGCTTCACCCAGCATATAATCACCAGCTTTTGATTTGATGCCCCACAGAGCATATCAAGGGGCGCAAAAAGCCACCCAATCCTCGAATCGCTCGGACGTCCCACACCCTCTGTTGTCCTGGCATCCGACGATGACCAGGGTCATGTTAAGAGCTGACCATTCAGTGTCGATCCTTGGACTTCGAATCTTGCCGGTAGAGCTCAATAACCCCGTATTTATTATCCAGGCTGCTGTTTAGGACAGGAAGCAGCTACAGCCACCCCGACTCAAAGCAAAAGAAGTGACGAGTTTCCCCTTAAGCCGAAGGGAGTCCTCTTCCACTTCAGCAAGCCGCCTTTCACCGTGGACTTGTAAGATGCTTCCGATCTTCTCGGGAGACAGCTCGGGCCCTGAGCAATTCATGATTTAGAAGGAACGCCAGCAACGATGGAAGCCCATAAAAGAGGAACGAGAACGGGGGGGTTTGGACGTCGGCAGCAAGAAGCTCCGGGGAATTCTCACCGGTGGGCATTTTCTCAAAAATGCAGTGGTCTCTAGCGAACGGGTGGGGCGCGGGAGGCTATTTGCTAAGCCTGGAACCCCGAGTTCTCCCTTGGAAGAGCGGGGGGCTTCTCAAAGCAACATCTCCAGGCCCGTCCGCCGGGTGGGTGGGCTGATACGTAACCTCCAGACGTCGTGAGTGCAGTGGACGGTGCACAGGGTTGGGGGGTGGGGAAGGGGAAGGGGTTGCACCTTAGCAGTGCTAACGTCGAAAGTGAAATGTCTTTAACTGGTTTGCTTTAGATGATTTCTGTATATGGGAACTTTCTAATTAACGCTTTTTAAATAATTAAGTAAAAAAAAAAACCAACTAAAAATAAAAAGTGCCAAGCTGCCACAGTTTCCTTCCGGGCTCCGGTGTTTGCTTCTCCTTGCCTCCGGCGGTCAAAGCCGCTGGTAGGCGCACCCCACCCCACCCCCAAAATCTTGGGGGCCAACACTTTCCGAAAGCGGTTGGTTTACCCACTGTGGTTTCTTGCACAAAAGGGAGCCGGGTGGCGGCGGGGGGGTTGAATTTCCAAGCTTGGTTGGCCAAATTGTCTCTGTTCTTTTTTTTTGGGTGGACGTAAACGGAGAGGATAGTACGTAATACGTTGCATTTGCCTGTGTGTGATTGTGGAGTTTTTTTCCCTTGTGCTAAGTTGATGTGGCCACAAGTAGCAATCGGATCCTCAGGTAGCAGGGAACACGGATTTTTTTTTTTTTTCCTTTTCTTACGGTAACAATTCCAAGAGAGAGTGTTTGAACTGTTTAAATAAATAAATTTAAAAAAAAAAAAACTTGAAACCGAAAAATACCTTTTTTGTGTGTGTGTGTGCGTTGTACGTATATGTGCGTGTGCGGAATGGGACAACTCGCTACAACCAACTTCCTGCGGCCAACTCAACCCAGGACAGTTTAACAATTCACTTTAATTATTTAAAATAAATAAAACATTGCTTTAATTTTTGTCACTCGCATTTCATTCTGCTCTTCCTTCTGCATCCTTTCTTTAATGGTTCTGTTCCACTATTTCTTTGATACCCTGTTTTCCCCAAAATAGGACATCCCCTGATAATAAACCCAATCGGGCTTTTGAGCGCATGGCAATAAGGCCAAGCGCTTATTTCAGGGTTCAAAAAAAATGTAAGACACGGTCTTATTTTTGTGGAAACACGGTATTAGTGTAATAGCAATAGCATTTAGACTTATATACCGCTTCACAGTGCTTTCCAGCCCCTCTCTAAGCGGTTTACAGAGCCAGCCTCTTGCCCTCAACAATCTGGGTCGTCATTTTACCGACCTCGGAAGGACGGAAGGCTGAGTCAACCTTGAGCCTGGTGAGATTCGACCAGCCAAATTGCAGGCAGCCGGCAGTCAGCAGAAATAGCCTGCAGTACTGCACTCTAACCACTGCGCCACCGTGGCTCTTAATTCTTGTCCCACGGCGAGTTGGCCACAGCGAATTGTCCCAGATCCGCTTGTGCATTTGCGACATCAGACTTTTTGCTACATCACTTTAAATCACCGTTTTATCAACCTCGACCAATTTTATAAACCCGTGGACTTTAACTCTCAAATTTCCCCAGCCCAACACATTCCAGTCACTCAATATGTTTTATCCGGGGGTTGTGCAAATGCAGCCTTTGCTGTCATTGTAACTGTCTTAAAAATATACATTTTCTAAATAAATAAATACAAATAAGTAAATAAGTAAAAAAAACATTCCAGTTCCCAAGCGCACCTGAGCTTTGATTTTATGACTGTGGAGAATTTGGGCATGTCACATTTTTCAACTTTCCATTTCCCAAACATTCAGGGTGCTCAAATGTTGTGTGACCTGCCTTGGGGATTGTAAAGATATTTGGATTACTCCAATATAATTTAGATGTGCTTGCTAAGTAACTACCTGAATATAATTTTTTAATATTTTGTTTCATTTTGGAGGTGGCTGCGGTGGTCATAAGTGCAAGAATTGATTGTAAATCACTTTTTTTCATTGCCATTGTAATGAAACTCCAAACAATTGCTGAAGAAACAGTTGCTCGTCACAGACTGTCAGTATATTCTCTGTTTAGTTTCGGGGGTTCTGTTAGCAAGACTTTTAATTTCTTAAATTGGAAATTTAAGAAGGCTAGCAGAATTGATGTCATCAGGCTTCAGTGCTTCGGTCCAGAACTGGTCCACTACATTCCCACCATCCTTTTGCAGGTTGCCATCTTGGTATTGTGGCCTGTCGGCCGCCGGCCCCTCCAGCAGCCGAATCAGAGGAGGAGGAGGTGTGAGAGTCAGGGTCAGCATCAAGGCAACCTGAGAGCTCTGAGAGGGAAGAGGAAATGGAGCTGTCAGAGCGAGAGACAGAGACGGAGCTTAGACTGTCCGTCAGCCCTCAAATGGAGAGTCAATAGCCCCCAGGTCTGGAGGTGGCTGATGAGGAAGAGGAGGAACAGCTGGGTCCGGTGCCTGACGTGCGGATGCGCAGAAGGCAGAGAGGAGAGCAGTGGAAATCTATGGGCCAGTCCTTGGGACGGAAGAGCCACTACTGCTAGCGAAGCCCCACCCTAGCTCGGGGGATAAAAGGCAGGGGGCGGAGATGAATAGATGTGCCAGACAACTATTCATCTTCTGGCGGGATAGACTTGTTAACGTGCGCTGAGAGGAACTTTTTGCCGGGGCTGCCGGCGCTCCTAATAAAGCCATCTTTTGAGTTTACCTCAGAGGAGTCGTCGTGTTTGGGCAGCCGGGTCAGAACACTCGGCTGCTTTAATAGTCCAGTCAGACTGTGATTCAGACGTGATAAAGACGTCCTTAACAAGGATGGCTGCGCCTCTGTCTTTCCATCTACGACAGGGGTCCCCAACCCCTGATCCGCGGACCGGCACTGGGCCACGCAAATAAGAGAAGCCCCATCCGCGGAATACAGGCAGCGTACAAAACGACGACACCTCCGGTCCGCAGGAAAACCTCTCTCCAAGGAACCGGTCCCTGGTAACCCGAAAAGGTTGGGGGCCACTCATCTACCACGACCACGTCCAGACTGATTTGCCCGAGACCACGTTTCCCCCCTCCCCCACCCAAAGAACCAGGAGACCAGTTTGTTTTGTTTTTTTCTACTAAAATATGCCTTTATAGAATATCTTATAAAAACCGTACAGTTATATACAGGACTGCTACGTACAAAAATTACGATATGGTTTTGGTATTTATGTACACAGACCTATATAAATACATTCTGTCTGCCCGCTCCAGCGATGTGCTTGTTTCACCCAGTAAACCCCCCCACCCCACATTCCCCAGTGACCAGCTAAACCAGTTTAACAGTTTCGCTGGCAGAGGGGAAGAAGGCGCCAGTCAGGCCACTAGCCAAGGGGCTTTGCCGAGGGGGCCTTTGCCAGCAGCCGAAAGCCGCCTTCGGTTCCCAGCTCTCTTCCCCGGCAGTGTCCTCTGGACCCCTTGGACTACACATCCCATCATTCCCAAACATTCCAACAACATCCATGCAGGCAGGGCAAAGGGGTGGGGCGGGAAATGTAGTCCCCTACATCTCCCGAGGGGCACAGGATATATAAACTGCCTATCGTGGCTAATCGGACTTTCTCTGTAGCCAGGCTGAAAAATTAAACCTCCCTTCCTTTCCAAAATAAAATAAAAGAGAGAAGAGAGGAGCAAAAGTGTTTTATGTGCAGGGATTTTCTTTCTTTTAGGGATGGGATCTCGCCTCTCTGCCTTCATGATCTGCCTCTGGATCTGCGTGCATTTCTACGCCCCGCCCCGCGCATATTCTGCTTTTCTCTCCTTTAGCCAAGGAAATTGGGTCGCAGGCTTAACTCCCTATTGCGGTGCACACAATCTTGCCTTAAAAGTTATTTCTTTACGGAGAGTCCTCGACTCCCGACCCCAAAATTTTCCGTGGCTAAGCGAGATCGCCGCCAAGCGAGTTTCGCTCCACGGGGATGAGCGTTTGCCACCGTCGTTAAGCGAATCCCATCCGGCGGTTAAGTGACTCGTTTGGCCATGAAGGGAACCTGGCTTTCCCCCTTGACTTTGCTTGTCCGAAGGTCGCAAAACGGGGATCGACGGTCACTTGCAACTGGCGTGAATGCCTGCCAGTTGCCAAGCGTTTGAGAATTTCGAACACCTGACGCTAGGGATATTGCAACGGTCGTAAGTCTGAGAACCGGGCCTAAATCTCTTTTTTTTCAGTGCCGCTGTAACTTCGAAAGGTCACTATGCAAATGGTTGTAAGTGGAGGAGTCTCTGTTCTTGGTTGCCGTCTCCCAAGAGCTCAGCTACAGAGACAGGAAGGAGTGAAATCCAGCAGGTTCTGGAGAATCGGTAGCGGAAATTTTGAGTAGTTCGGAGAACCGGCAAATACCACCTCTGGCTGGCCCCAGAGTGGGGTGGAAATGGAGATTTTGCAATATCCTTCCCACAAGAGTGGGGAGGGAATGGGGATTTTGCAGTATCCTTCCCCTGCCACGCCCACAGAACCGGTAGTAAAAAAAAATTGGATTTCACCACTGCCACCACCTCTCCTGCAATCCTGGCAAACCCTCCATGAGCTTTTTGGCCAAGAAACAGAAGACGTGAGGAAGGTAAGGTAGGTTGTCAGAACAACCGATAACGCAAATGTCGAAAAAAATCCTAGAACTAAGGAGAAATTTCCTGACAGTGAGAACAATTAACCAGTGGAACAACTTGTAAATGCTCCAACGCTGGAAGCTTTTAAGAAGAGATTGCACAACCATTGGTCTGAAATGGGATTGGGGTTCCTGCCTCAGCATGGGGTTGGACTAGAAGACCTCCAAGGTCCCTTCTTCTATTCCTCAGCCTCCTGCTAGTTGTGCCACCTACTATACCATCCCCTGATTCGCCTCCCCCACCTTACGGGAAAGGTAACCACCGGTAAATTCCCAAATTCCATTTTTGCCCCAGCAATTGCTTTCATTACACTATTCCCACCTCAAAAGATGGTAGCCCACGTGGCTGGAGAGGGGGATCAGTAATATTGGAAGAGTCTGAAGCCCCTTCCCCAAATCATCCAGTGCAGGATAAGATCACAGCAGGGGTGGGGCTGCTGGGGGTTCACAGGGATTTGAGAGAACCTCTAGCTAAGAATCTCTGCAGTTCGAAGAACCCCCAAATCCCACTCCTGGCTAGCTCTGCCCCTCCCAGGAGTCCCCACGCGACCCATTTTGGATGCAGGTAAATGCAGGGAGGGCGAAAAACCGGCCTACCGGAAGTTCAGGGAGGCCAGAAAAGGGCCTCCGGAGCCTGGGGAGGCTGTTTTCACTCTCCCAGAGGCTCAAGAAAAGCCTTTGGTGCCCAGGGAGGGCAAAATCGCCACCGACACCCCCGTGGTGCAGGAGGCTAGGCCACGCCCACCATGGCCACACCTACCCAGCAACCGGGCAGAGAACCCCTTGCTAAAATTTTTGAAGCCCACCCCTCGTTTAGAGATAGGGCGCTTCACCCTCTCTCTTGAATTTTGACTTCCCCATGGACTCTTTAAGGTCATACAGGCTAACTATAAACTAGGTTTCCTTTGCCCTTGGGGGCCGCACAGACATTAAACCCGGTCCAGATTTTGAAGGAGTTGGGCCTTCTCACTCACAGGTTCTGGTTGTCCCCCCCCAAGTTCATGAGATCTTAGACAAGCATCCCCGTGACAGCTGTTGGAAGATCTCGATAACTGAGCGTGTGCTAAAATGTCTTCTCAGTTGATGTTCTGTCCCCCACAAATCCCTTCTAGAGATGTTTTGGGAGGTCCCCAAATATTGTTATCTCCACCTCGTGACTAGGCAATCCAGAATAACGGCAAGCAGATAAGAAGTTTAGTCTTATCCTGCTTGTTGTTTTACGCTGGCCCAATTTTTCCTCTCGGTCTTTCTACACCCGAATGTCTCTTTTGGCGTTGGCTCTCTGCCAGAAACCGGCAATCGTGACATCCCGGCCCTATGTCCAATATAGGTCAGTCCTCGATTTACGACCACGGCGGAGTGCAACATTTCCATTGCAAGGGCAGTCGTTAAGGGAGCTTTGCCTCATTTTGCGACCTTTCTCGCCACCCTTGTGAAGTGAATCATCGGGTCATTAAGTGAATCTGGCGTCCACACCCCCCCCCCCATTGACTATGCACGGAAGCCGGAGAGGAAGGTTACAAATGGGAGAAATCATGTGACAGCGCAGCAGTCGTTAAGTGCAACGCCAGTTGCCAAGCGACCAAAATTTGGATCATGTGTCCCTGGGGGAAATGCTGTAACGGTCACGCGTGTGAAAAGCGGTGGTTGAGTCCCTTTATTTATTCGGTGCCATTTAACTTTGGTCGTTAAACGGATGGTTGTAAATCGAGGACTATTCCTTCCTATAGAAGGAAACCCAGATTGGGGGTCGAACCAACGTTGATGGTTAAGAGATCAAGGAAAACCCTTCCCTGTTGCAACGGTACACGCAGAGAGATGGACGAGGGTGCCTGTAAACGTGACTCGGACCTCACAGATCGCGTGTTTGTGTGTGTGTGTGTGTGTGTGTGTGTGATGCACAAATGCTGAATGGCTTTTTGGCAGTAGCTTGCACAAGGATTAGAGCTGGGGGACCATCGGCCACCAGCTTTTCCCAGCTTCCTTCCTGACCTCCATCCCCTCCTTCCCCATTTCCCCACTTCCCCATCACCAACCCAACATGAATATGGGGGGGAAAACAATGACCGCTCCTTTCCAATTAATTTTTCTTGAAAAAAGAAAACAGGCGATTCCCTTCGGCTCCAACCGGTTCGGAGCCCTGCTGCTGGACCTTCAGCATAGGCGAAGGCCGGGTGCGCCGCTTGGCTCCATAGCTGCTGGTGGTGTACATCATCGTCTGGCTCCATTCCTTAGGATGTCTGTCCATCAGCTGCTGGTCGATGAGCCTCTGCATGTCATCCTACGGCCAGGGAGAGAGGAAAAACTGTTCGGGAGAAGCCAGTGACGATGGGAGGGGAAGAGATGTAGGGCAGGGGTCCCCAATCTGTGGCCCACTAGTGTGACCTATTCGGAACCGGTTTGCGGGGCGGCGCAGCTCCACTTGCAGTCAAAATAAAAATTCAGATCACGTGATTACCAGCTATTTTCACAACGGGACTCAAATACCGTGTTTCCCCCAAAATAAGACAGGGTGTTATATTAATTTTTTGCTCCAAAAGACGCATTATGGTTTATTTTCCGGCTAGGTCTTATTTTGGGAGAAATACAGTACTTAACGCCTCCGTCTGGTTGACGATCTTAACTGGGGCTTATTTTTGGGGTAGGGCTTAATTACAAGCATCCTGAAAAATCATGCTAGGACTTATTTTCTGATTAGTTCTTATTTTGGGGAAAATACAGTACTAAACACCTCTGTCTGGTTGACGATCTTAACTGGGTCTTATTTTTGAGGTGGGGCTTATATTACGAGCATCCTGAAAAATCATGCTAGGGCTTATTTTCTGGTTAGGTCTTATTTTGGGAGAAATACAGTACTTAACACCTCCGGTCTGGTTGACGATCTTAACTGGGGCTTATTTTTGGGGTAGGGCTTACGTTACGAGCATCCTGAAAAATCATGCTAGGGCTTATTTTCCGGTTGGGTCTTATTTTCGGGGAAACAGGTTAGTTAGTGGAATGGAATAAACTAATTACAGGGAATTCTTGAATCTACGACCACAATTCCTGGTTGCCAGCATGAATTCTGGGAGTTGAAGTCCACAGGACCGTAAAGTTGCCATGGTTACCTACCCCTGTTCTAAGCATTTCCAGTCTCTGCTCGAAAGGATGAAGCGGTACCCCAGGCGGGATGGGACATGAGAGGATGCCATGGGGAAGGGAAAGAAGCGGGGTGCGTGGGGAGGGCGCTCACCTTAAAGGCAGGAGGGGTGTACGACTAAAGCTGTTGTTACGGGAAGTGATAAAGGCCACTAGATCAGAAACCAAAGAAGCCAAATAGTGAAAAGGCCTGAAGAAGCAAACTGGAAAAAGAAGAGAAAGAGAGAGAGAGAGAGAGAGAGAGAAAGAGAAATGACCACAAGGAAAAAGGGAGGACAAGTTCAACCAGGAGAGCTGCGGGATGCGGGGACAGGAACGTCCAACTTGTGATGCTGCCCCCTTGTGGATCAAAGGGGAATTTGCACAAGGCCACGGAGAGTTGGAGGGGCCACCTCGGAGTCTCTAGATAGAAGGTGGCCACCAGTCCCGAGGGCTGGACTTGAAAGCTTGGAAGGAAGGAGGAGGATGCGTTTTAGGGAAAGCCTCTTGGGATCTACGGGTTGGACGCGAGGGATGCTGGGAGAGGAGGAACCCCTTGGAAGGTCAGTTCTGGGGGGTCGTGAACCCCAGGAACAAGGACCTCAAGAAGAGCCCAGTTCTACTTGAACCATCTCTTCCTCCTTTTCTCCTCTTGCTTCTCCTCCTTTCCTCCTCCTCCTCTGCTTTTCTCTTTTTCTCCTCCTGCTCCTCTCCTCCTCTTCTCCTCCTCCTTTCCTCCTTCCTCCTTTCCTCCTCCTCTTTTCCTGCTCCTGCTTCTCCTCTTCCTCTTCTCCTCCTCTTCTCCTCCTTTCCCCCTTCTGCTCCTGCTTCTCCTCCTTTTTTCCTCCTGCTCCTGCTTCTCCTCCTTTTCTCCTCCTCCTCTCCTGCTCCTCCGCCTTCTTTTCTCCTCCTTTTCTCCTCCTCCTCTCCTCCTGCTCCTCCACCTTCTTTTCTCCTCCTTTCCTCTTCCTCCTCTTCCTCCTTTTCTCCTCCTGCCTCCCACAAAGGGGGTCAATGAATGTGTATCCTTCACAAATTCATCTACTGTGTCATGCAACCCTGGAGAAACAAGGATCTCTCCTGGCCCTGGACATTTGGCAGGCAACATTTTTGGAGGGGTGTCGTCAAAAGCCCTGATCCAAACCAGCTTTTTCCTCCTTCAGAAGCCCTCTTTAGGGGCGTTTTTCCCCCCAAGTGTCCCAAGCTGAGTTCCACCAAAGAAGGAAGAAGGTTCGACCATCTCTTTCTCCTCCACCCCGAGACCCTCAAAAGTGTCATCGAACTCAGTTTACAATGGATGTAACAAAAACCATGGACATTAAATGAAGCAAGGCCCCCTCTTCCCTCTTCAAGTCTGAAATCTTTTTTAAAAATTTTCCTGACTTATAGTCCGATTGGATCAAAGAGAAGAAACACCCAGAGAAGGCAAAACGGTGGAGAAAAAATACATTTTTTTGAGAAGTTCACCCCCCCCGGTTCCCTCTACTTCCAGTGTTCTGGGAAAGGGAGGCCTTTCATTATCAAGCCCATGTGGCACCACCCAGAAGAAGACCTCTACGGGTTAGGAGGTAGACCCTGGCCCTGACTTCCTCTTCCTCCTACCTGCCACGCTTCCAGCTGCTGCGAAAGATTAAGCTTCTGTTGAATGGCGTCCAACAGCTGGCTGTTCAGCGACATCATGTCCATTCTGCATTTGGCCAGCTCCATCTCAACAGCGTTCTTCCTGCAAACCAAAACAACAACAACAACAAACAACAAAATGATTTAAGAGACGTTTGGTTTCTGGGTCACCTTTTCATCTCTCCCCACAGATGGAGCCCGGCTGGGGAATATGGGATCTGCAGTCCCAACACATCGCATGAGTACCACTAGGCTTGGGGGAAGCGGAGCCAGATGGCCATTCTAGCGTGCAAGGGTGGCCATTCATGAAATTCTGATTTAAGAAATATATATATATATATTTCTCTGCCTACGCAGCCAGGGCTGACAGAACACAGCCCCCACCCCCTTGCAAATATCTCGGTATTGCAAAAGTGGGGAAAAAAACATTTTAAAAAATCCCCTTCACAGAATGAATATTGGACTTCCTAAGAAGCCAGTTTCCATGGATACAGGAGAGTCGGTAACCTACACACAGCCTAAACTACCAGAAGCTTCCTCGATTTCCGGCATTGAAACTCAATAGGCAACCAATATTCTCTGTTTTCAGGCGAGAGAGGGCAGCAATGAGGTGGCTATTTGGTCTTTTTTTTTTCTGATAATCACACCTGTGTTATGGGTCCATCATCAAAGGAGCAGAAAATGAATAAAAGAGGGTGGGAGGGAGACGGGGAGGGAGGGAAAGGGAAACAGAAGGAAGGAGGGAGAGAGAAGGAGGAAAAGGGTGGGAGAGAAGGAGGAAAGGGAGAGGGAGAGAAGAAGGGAGAGGGAAGGAGAGAGGAGGGAAAGGGAGGGAGAAAGGGAGGGAGAGAGGAGAGAGGGAGAGTGGGAGGGAGAAGAAGGGAGAGGGAGGGAGGGAGAGAGAAGGGAAAGGGAGAGGAGAGGAGAGAGGGAGAGAGAAGGAGGGAGGGGGAGAGGGAGAGAAAGGGAGAAGGAGGGAGGGAAAGGGGGAGGGGAGGGGGAGAGAGAAGGAGGGAGAGGGAAAGGGAGAGAGAAGGAGAGAAAGGGAGAGGGGGAGAGAATGGAAAGGGAGAGAGGAGAGAATGGGAGGGAGAGAGAAGGAGGGAAAGGGAGAGAGAGAAAGAAGGATGGAGAGGGAGAGAGAAGGAGGAGAGAAAGGGAGGGAGAGAGAGAACAGAATCATAGGGCTGGAAGCGACCTCCAAGGTCGTCTACAGAATGCCTTTGGATGCATTTTGAGCCCTTCATCAGATTTGGTGCAGGGGAGGATCACCATGCAACCAGTGTCAAAATCGCCACGGAAGCCACCTTACTGGAATTCCTGGCGATGGATCTCAAATTTTAGATCTTAAGCCCCACCCTTGTCTCTCCCTAATGCCGATCCTGCCACTCAACCAAACTTTTTCTCAGCTTACTTAGAAATGGCTTCATCTCGGTCTCGGATAGCCTTCAAGAGCTGCTCGCTCATCTCCTTATCTTCCGCCGATCCCCGGAGTCGATCTCTTTCCTCTTTCAGCGAAGTCATTTCTACACTCAACAGAGTCACCTGACAAAGACAAAGGGGGTGGTGGTGGAAAGAATCAAGGTTGTGATGTGGGTTTCATAGCAAGGCAAAAGAATGGGTCCATTCGATCTAGAGATGTCCAGCAGAACTTCATACATCAATGAAGACCAGCTGAACTCCAGAAAAACCTTCGCAAGTGGAGAAGTGGTTTGTTTGCAACTTAGTTCCTTAGATGCTGTGATGTTGGCTTTAGTTGAGATTGTGTGGGTTGGCTGTGTTGTGTTGTGTTGGCTTTGGTTGAGTTGTGTGGGTTGGCTGCGGTGTGTTGTGTTGGCTTTGGTTGAAGCCATGTGGGTTGGCTACGTTGTGTTGTGTTGGCTTTGATTGAGGTTGTGTGGGTTGACTGCGTTGTGTTGTGTTGGCTTTGGCTGAGGCCGTGTGGGTTGGCTGCGTTGTGTTGTGTTGGCTTTGGTTGAGGTTGTGTGGGTTGGCTACGTTGTGTTGTGTTGGCTTTGGTTGAGGTGTGGGTTGGCTGCATTGTGTTGGCTTTGGTTGAGGTGTGAGTTGGCTGCGTTGTGTTGTGTTGGTTTTGATTGAGGTTGTGTTCCACCTAAGGAGGTGGTGGCTTCTGCTTGAACTACAGGTGGAGGCCCTGGCTTAGGAAGACTTTTGTCCATCTTTAGCTAGTGCATTAGATGGTGCTGGCTTTGGGGACCGCTGTTGTAGCCTGAATCCCATTATGGCTAGACTACATAGTACAAGTTATGTGGGGCTGCCTTTGTAGACTATCCAAAAATTTCAATTGGTACAGCGTGGATGGTTTGACTGATAGGTGGAAGTCCATTCAGCAACATCTGTTGGTTTCCAGCTAGAATCCTAAATGCTGTTTATCACCTATAAAGGCCTTTTTTGGCAGCTGCTGCACACGGCTGGCTCCTATTTAAATGGTTGCCCACTAGGACTCCAAGATCCCTCTCACAGTTACTACTATTGAGCAAGGTACCACCTATACGGTACCAGTGCATTTTGTTTTTCTTGCTTAAATGTAGAACCTTACTTTTCTGCCTACCTATTATCTCTCTAAGGGACGCGGTGGCTCAGTGGCTAAGACGCTGAGCTTGTTGATCGAAAGGTTGGCAGTTCGGCATCTCGAATCCCTAATGCCGCGTTATGGGGTGAGCTCCCATGACTTGTCCCAGCTTCTGCCAACCTAGCAGTTCGAAAGCAGGTAAAAAAATGCAAGTAGGAAAATAGGGACCCCCTTTGGTGGTAAGCGTTCCGTGCGCCTTTGGCATTGAGTCATGCCGGCCACATGACCACGGAGACGTCTTCGGACAGCACTGGCTCTTCAGCTTTGAAACGGAGATGAGCACTGCCCCCTAGAGTCAGGAACAACTACCACATATCTGCGGAGGGAACCTTTACCTTTATTATCTCTCTCTCTCTCTCTCTAACCATCAAAGGAAGCTCTTAAAAACAGCAACGAAGGAATCTTGCTCCCTGCATCCGTGCCTACCTGGCTGTGAAGCTGCTGTAGCTCTTCCAGACTCTGCCTCAGTTTCCCCCGTTCGCCTTCCATTAACTCCCTCAGGGCTCTGGAATCTTCACTCGTTTGCTTGATCTGTTCCTCCAAAGCATCGTCATCACTTCTCCGAGAGCCCTGAAAAAAGATATGAAAAGTCTTTTACCCAGGGATATTAGGGATTTTGTTAAGGTTGACTCAGCCTCCCATCCTTCCGAGATTGGTAAAATGAGGATCCAGATGGTTGGGGGGGGGGGATAAGATGCTGACTGTAAACCGCTTAGAGAGAGCCAGAAACCACTCTGAGGAAATATATACATTAAGTCTAAGTGCTATTGCTATTCCTCTCTCCCTCCCCTCCCTCCCCTCCCCTCCCTCCATTCAAATCAAGCTAGGTTCACATAGCTTGATTTTCAGGACAGTATATATGCCTAAATGCTGGAGCGGAGTGGTGGCCTAGAAGGGGAGCTCTTGCCTCACAATCAGGAGGCTGTGAGTTCGATCCAAGGTAGAGGCAGATATTTCTCTCTCTGGGCACAATGAGAATATATCTGCTGAAAAAAACTCCGCATAGGTGACAGGAAAGGCATCCGGCCATTTGTTGTGACCGAGGCTTACCGAGTCATTACAAGACACAATTAGTCCCAAACAAACCTATTTTAGTGTAACAGCTGAGAATTACGTTCATTCCCAGCTGAGTCCCAATTAGTTGCAAAACAAGTCCTTCGGAAGAAGTCCTTCAAGATAATCACCCACCTTTATCTTCTTTGACACCCTGCCAAAGGCCTTACTTGGCAAAGCCCCACGGAGTTCAGAAACAAACAAGAAATGCCGACTGGAAACAGAGTTAGCAACCTTGCTTTCCTGCAAAAAGGCCCAAGTGCCTTTGTTTCTCTTTTAAGCCTTATGGGAGGGACCAATCATCTCCTGGCCTTACTCCCGAGTCGTCCCTTTTGCTTTAGCTGTTTTTGCCTTCTGGCAGCTCTGCGCATATGTGTACTAGGAACAGGCTCCTCCTGTTCCTCTGCCTCTCTGCTGTCCAACTCTGGGGGCTCGGGAGTCCGTGTATCACTCCCAGCTGGCCCTGGCCCCATCTCTGCCTCCAATGCAGAGCCCTCGTCCGGGCCTTCCCTGACTCCAGGACTGGCCCATGTTCCTCCCCAGCTTCCTCACTCTCCACTGCCAGCTCCGCAGGCTGTTGGCGGACCACACCACCATTAAACACTCTACTAGCTTCATTCAGTTGCCCAGACTCCACCCCGCAAGGGATTATGGAGTCATTAAAAGAAGGATGACAATATAAGCCTCAATGCTAACTGTTATTAATGGGGTGATAGTGGTAACCCCCCAAACCCCGCTTACCGGGGAATCCGTGCCATCAATCACGCTTTGGATCAGCCTTTTCAATTCGCTGAGTGCAGCCCTCAAGCTGCCGGCCGGAACGTCTTTGGCTGAGGAGGTTTCTGAAGACTCGTCCATGGAAGAGTCTGTGGAGACGGCAGAATCCGCACTGTCGTTCCCTCTGAGGTGCGTACACAAGTAACGGACTTGGCAATAGGCCTCCCAAAGCTGCAACCTCAACTGCGGTAACAGAATTAAAAAAAAAAAAAAAAGTACAGTGGAGGGTTCGAAATACGACGACACCCATCTGACGGATTTCAAACCCAGGATTACATCTGCAGGATGAGTGGTGCGGTGGCCTAGAGGTGGAGCTCTCGCCTCACAGTCGGGAGACTGATTTCGATCCTAGGTAAAGGCAGATATTTCTCTCTCTGGGCACAATGAAAATATATCTGCTGAACAAAACTCCGTACTGGCAACAGGAATGGCATCCGGCCATTAAAACACTCTGCTAGTTCCATTCAGTGCGACTCCACCTCGCAAGGGATTATGGGGTTATTAAAAGGAGATGATGATGATTACATCTGCAGGATCCAATTATGTACAGGATCTTATTCCTTAGGAAGTTCTTCCCACCCACCCCAAACTTTCAGCCTCGATCTGTTGGCATCTAACCATCTTAAGAACGTTCGATTGAAGGACAACCTAGAAGCTCAAGGAATTGTCCTACTTTGGCACAGCTTCCAAAGTTTTCTGGAGCCCCACCGCTTCGTACCTGCTCCCGCTCTTGTTCCAGCTCTTCTGCTTCCATGCTCTGTTCGATCTCCGACAGCAAAGACATTCTGGTGGAGTTGAAGTCTTGGAGGCTTCGTTCCTCATTCAGCTCCTCCATCTTGACCTGCAGCTGCCGATAGGACAGTCTCACCTCTTGAAGTTCCAGCTGGCTCTGGTGCAACTGATAAGAACGAAAAGATAGCTAAGAGAAGAGAATTAACCAAGGTCACCGGTGATTGAAACCCAACCTAGCTTGGCCTAGAATAGCTGTTGAGGGGCACCTCCAAGGAACTATTCAGGAAAAGGGCCAGCGCAATGTAGCAGGTGGGACCTGAACCTCAGCGCAATCTTACATTGGATGAGTCATACTACGGTACATGAATTCAATTCAATACCAAGGATTTTTCCTAGTGAATTTCAATATCCACACATCGATCTATGGGAAATTAGTCTGACAACAAATTTTGGGGTCTTGGGATGGGCCCTCCCTGGTTTTAGGAGGAGATGATAATCCTGTGGTCTTGGGTTTATTTATTTATTTACCAAAAATTTATATGCCGCCCTTCTCCCTAAGGACTCGGGGCGGCGAACACAAGTTAAAAACATATGATAATAAAAAGTAAGGTGATTAAAACCCAGATTAAAACAACAACAATCAAAATAATAAAACCCAAGGATCAGGGTCAACCCATTTGTTGGAACAGAAGTCTTTAAGTCCCGACGGAAGGAGCGGAGATCAGGCGCTGTCTGAAACTTGGTGGGTAACTCGTTCCAGAGGACAGGGGCGCCTACAGAGAACGCTCTACCCCTGGACGTTGCCAGCTGACATTGTCTGGCCGACGGTACTCTGAGGAGGGCAGCCCTGTGAGAGCGGACAGGATGGTGGGAGGTGGGTAGGAGATGATCCTGCAAATACCCTGGACCTAAGCCATGTAGGGTTGAAGGAAATTTGGCCACCCAACTAGGAAAATCCATAAAACTAGATCCAGGATCTAGAAGGATCAGCTTGCATTACTTGCAATGATCCAGAAATCTCAAGTGGGTTTTCATGGGTTGGGAGATATGACAGAACAGAAGCAGAAGGAGGCTGAGGAATAGAGTAGAGTAGAGTAGAGTAGAGTAGAGTAGAGTAGAGTAGAGTAGAGAAGAAAAGAGAAGAGAAGAGAAGAGAAGAGAAGAGAAGAGAAGAGAAGAGAAGAGTTGGAAGGTACTTCAGAGGTCTTCTCCGCTCTCAAGCAGGAGACCCCCATACATAACTACTGTTTCAGACAAGTGGAAGTCCAGTTTTTTCTTAAAAACCTCCAGTGATGGAGCACCCACAATTTTAGATGACTTTACTTTAGTTTTACTTAGTGTTCCAGGAGGAAGAATGACCCCTCCTCTGCATGTTTCCCAAACCTACTCTTTCCCTTGATTCTCGGGTCCCATTTTGTAGGGCTGAGATGGACCTCCACAACTTCTAAGAATTCCTGAGACAAAGCCCGCCTTGGTCTTCTTCTCCTGGCATTTCTGGGGTCCTCGGGCTTCCATTCCTACCTGCAGGTCTTTTTCATGGCTTTGCCGTTCCAAAATTAAGACACGGTCTTGAAGTTCTTCCACCGTCCCCTGGAGAAGGTTGTTCTCCTCCATCATGGCGCTGAGCCGGCGCTCCAGGTCTTGCTTCCGATCCCTCAGCATCTTAATCTGAAAAAGCAAGCAAGGGGAGAGTCTCAATGTCAAGACCGAGCGTGTCTGGAGAAGAGAGAGGACCTGGGCTCTGGAGAAGCCAGAAGGAAAAAGGACCTGAGTGGCAGGGAGAAGCCACACCTGTGGACACAGCCTGGAACGGAACGACGGATCAGTGGAATGTGGGAAGAGAACGGAAGCAGAGCTGATCTCTTTCCCCCCCACCTACCTACCCTCCCTTCTGGAACTTGGCTCGCGGAGTGGGAGGAATTTAAATTTGCGGAGCTTGGAATGTGCGTTGCCAAGCAAAGGAGAGGGAGGGAAGGAGGCCGAGCGGTCACTCCGCCTCTCTGGAATTCCCAGAGGGATTTTAAGAGATGAACTTAGGTTCCACGATAGGTCAGCGGGGTGGGTGGGGGTGGGGGAGATCTTCGCCCCACTTGCTCGGTTCCTCTCCGCCATCGGTCCCAAATACAAGGGTAATTGTATTTCTCCTTCTCTCTGGGGGAAAAAAAGCTCCTTCGTGGTTGTGTTCAGCCTGCACAAGGTGTGTGTACGTGTGAGAAACCTCTGAGATGAACATCATTGGGGGGGGCCTCACAAGACCAGTTTGAGGGACAAGGGGGACATTTCTGAGAGTTATAAGGGAGGTTTTTCTCAAGGGAAGGAGGGAAAGCTATTAGGCAGAGAATTCTTCTGTGCTGTCAAAGTTTTGTCTGTGTGTTTGCGTATAAATATGGATGTGGGAATAGAATATAGAATAACAAGAGTTGGAAGGGACCTTGGAGGTCTTCTAGTCCAACCCTCTGTGTATGTGCTTTAGTGTGTTTGTGTATGCACATATATAGAGACAACACACACATATTTTTTACTACTGGTTCTGTGGGTGTGGCTTGGTGGGCGTGGCAGTGGAAGTTTACTGCAAGATCCCCATTCCCTCCCAATCAGCTGGAACTCGGGAGGCAAAGAATAGATGGGGGCGGGCCAGTCAGAGGTGGTATTTACTGGTTCTCCGAACTACTCAAAATTTCCGCTACCGGTTCGCCAGAACCGGTCAGAACCTGCTGAAACCCACCTCTGATATATACATATCTGTAAATCTGCATGTGTGTGAATGTGTACATGTGTATGGGCATGCATGAATGTGGATGTACCTGTGTGGATATACACCTACATGAATGTGTATAGGTTTGTGTATATTTAGTTATATATATATATATATATATATATATATATATACTGCATAGACATATACATGCACACATGAATGGGTGTGAGTATATATGTGAATGTGCACGTGGGTGAAAGTCTTTGGGTGTATCTACTGTATATATAGGAATCAATGTGTATGTATGTGTGTGTGGATGGATGGATAGATGATAGAGAGATAAAGATAAATAGAGATAGATAGATAGATAGATATAGATGATAGATAGATAGATAGATAGATAGATAGATAGATAGATAGATAGATAGACAGATAAATATAGTGATAGAGTAGAGAAATAGATAGATATAATGTAGAGAGATAGATAGACAGATGATAGATAGATAGATAGATAGATAGATAGATAGATAGATAGATAGACAGATAAATATAGATAGATAGACAGACAGACAGATATAATGTAGATATATATATATAGAGAGAGAGATAAATAGGTAGGTAGGTAGGTAGGTAAATAGATGATAGATAGGTAGATAAATACAGATAAATATAGTGATAGATAGATAGATAAACAGATAGACAGACCAATATAATGTAGAGATAGAGAGATAGAGAGATAAATGGATAGATAGATGATAGATAGATAGACAGATAAATATAGTGATAGATAGATAGAGTAGATAAATAGATAGACACAGACAGATATAATGGAGAGAGAGAGAGAGAGATGAATGTGTATAGGTATGTGTATGTCTATATATCATGAACAAGTGTAAGTGCATGTTTGAATGCATGCTTGCATATACATATATGTGATCATACACATGCATACATACATGTGCATGGGCGTGTGCGTGCATATATCTATATGGATGTGTATACACACACATACAAACACGCATCCACGAATGTGTGCGCGAGGGAGTGTAGACACAGAGGTTTGCACCAGGGGGTCAAATCATTCAAGATTGCGGCTGCTCGAACCCTGCCACCAAAGCCCCACCCTCATTCTCATTTAATCAGCCACTGGAGTTGTCCCCTTGGCTGCCCAGATGCCCCCTACCCACTATTCCCCCACCCCCACCCCAAAAGCCGTCTGTCTGCCTAGGTGTGCTCACACAGCCTCGTGCGTATTTGTTCGATTACAGAACTTCCAACGCTGAAGTTGCTTAACCGCTGTCGCAATATATGAAATGCAGCCTAGGCAACATTTTGCCCAGCCAGCAAGCAGAATTTTCCCCTTCTCTTTTCTGCCAAGATAACAAACCACCATTTCCAGGAAGAAACGCAACCAGGAATGTCCCGGGAGTTGGAGAAAGGGGGTAGCCCAAGCTTACCCCACCTCCTGCTTCCCTTACGTCTAGCTGCGATCTGTGACGGCTTCCCTTGTGAATGTTTGGGAATTCTGCTTTTTAGCAGGCGTGAGTAACTCCTTGAGTATTTCTTTTGAGGTATATATTTGTTCCCAGGTTTAGGAATGAGATAAGGAGTCAAAAGTCCCCCAAACGAAGAGAGGAAGGGGGAAAAAAAAATCCAAGAAAAAGAAACGCTGGGAGAGGAAAAAAAAATATGACTTGTAAAAACGGTGAGGTGGAATTTTCTTGGGAATCTGACATGGCATGAACCCTTTGAATTCTATTCATCAGAAGAAGATGAGTTTGATGGCTCTGGTGGCTTGCCCCTGACTTTAAAAGACGCACAGAAATGCATTTTTTTTAACTGGAGAAATGGGCACGAAAACGTGTGCCAATTTTTTATTTTTTTATTTTTTTTAATTTGATTTATATGCCGCTCTTCTCCGGAAACTCAGGGCGGCTTACAATGCGTTAAGCAATAGCCTTCATCCTTTTGTATATTTATACAAAGTCAGCTTATTGCCCCCACAAACTGGGTCCTCAATTTACCTACCTTAGAAAGGATGGAAGGCTGAGTCAACCTTGAGCCTGGCGAGATTCGAACCTGCAGTAATTGCAGGCAGCTGGTCTTAATAACAGGGTGCATTAGACCACTGTACTACCAACGCTCTTATATTTTAGATTTTAAATTTTAGCGTGGACTTGTCTTTTTAAGATTCTCCGCTTCGGAGACAGAGCTGCGATCTTCCACGTTGCATTTCTCTCGTGGCACCTTGGGAATTTAAAAAAGATTTCCCCACCTGATCCTTCATGAAGCTTGATTAAATGAGACAACCTCCCTCAATACCTATTACGCAGGAGCCCCCCCCCCGGGGGGGATGGGAATTAGCGACTCTCTTGGGTGGGTGAATAAGAGAAAAAAAAATCTTGTTTTGCAAAAAGTGGCGGCGCGATTGGGACTTCGGAAATGATGGACTCCAGTCTGATTCAGTTAAAGGAAAGAAGCGTTTCCTTCGATCGAGAGAGAGGGGCCAATCCGTCGGCATCGATTTGGAGATAATGGATTGGCGTTGACGTTTCAAACTAACTTGCCAATTGGATCTGGGAAACCAATTTGACCGGGTGATTGAACTCCACTCAGAATGGAATCCTGCCGTACCTTTCAGAATTTTAATAACCGCAGCTCGTCCTCAACTTGCGACGGTTCCAAGGCTCCATTATATGAGCCTTGGTGGTGCAGTGGACTAAAGTGCTGTTAAGTAGCACTTAGCTGCCAGCTGCCTGCAATTACTGCGAGTTCAAATCTCACCAGGCTCAAGGTTGACTCAGCCTTCCATCCTTTCGAGGTAGGTAAAATGAGGACCCGGATTGTGGGGGCAATAAGCTGACTTTGCATAAAAAAAAGAACACCGCTTGGGGGGGCCCGAAAGCCATACTAAGCAGGTATATACAAAAGTATGGCTATTGCTTAACGCATTGTAAGGCACCCTGAGTCTCCGGAGAAGGGCAGCATATAAATCAAACCAATAAATAAATAAATAAATGAAATTTCTGATAATCCGGTAGCCCAAAATCATTTTATGACGGTTTTGCCAAAAACTAGCACTTTCTTCTGGTTTTCGGCAAAACTCTCCCAAGTGAACAATAGGTTTCCGTACCGAAGTATTCATTTAGTAGCCGTGACATTCACACTTATGACCTCCAAATTCACTTAACGACTGCTACAAGAAAAGCGTAAAACCAACTTGGTAAAGCTGACCATTACGGACAGGCTCCCATAGGGTCATAACTCAAGGACTGCCAGTAGAGATTTCTAAGAAGACTTTCATTTCCTCCCCGGCTATTCCACATGGATTCGTTTCTCCATCCTAAAATATCTAAAACTCCAGAAATTTTGGAAACTTCCAAAGGATTCTCGCGAGCAGAGCCTGATGGGAAATTCCTCAAAGCATCCCACTGACCACATGAGATGATGAATGAGATGGACCCATTGGGGTTGATCAAACATGCTAACTGGCAGAGGTTTGGCGAATGAGCACGATCACGGAGTTTTTAAAGACGGTGTGCTTCCATAGAGAGTGGCGGTGGGTTTCGTTCATGTATGTTACACGTGAATGACTCAACCAGCACCCCCATGTGCAGACCAGTGAGACACAAAAGGCCATGAAGAAGCTGAGTAACCAGACAGCGACAGAAGAGGATGGAAAGGACATGCAAAAGTCGGATCTGATGACATGCAGTTCAAACCTGGTGGAAATATTCATACTTACTTCCAAGATTTGCTGCTCCGATAAGAGGAAGGAAGGGGGAGGAGGAAGGAAGGTTAAAATGGGACAATTAGGGCTCACAAAATGTAGGGTCGGGAACAAGAAACTGGCAAGGTTAAGGAAGGGAACCATCTCAACCAGTGGTGGGTTTCAAAAATTTTTACTACTGGTTCTGTGGGTTTGGCTTGGTGGGCGTGGCATTGCTTGGTGGGCGTGGCAGGGGAAGAATACTGTAAAATCTCCATTCCCTCCCCACTCCAGGGGAAGGTTACTGCAAAATCCCCATTTCCTCCTGATCAGCTGGGGCTCGGGAGGCAGAGAATAGCTGGGGGGACGGGGCCAGTCAGAATTTTTTACTACCAGTTCTCCGAACTACTCAAAATTTCCGCTACCGGTTCTCCAGAACTGGTCAGAAGCTGCTGAAACCCACCTCTGATTTCAACTACGTTCTCTATAGTCTTCCTCTTAGCTGGGAAGACTTCTGATGGGCAACTCAAATATTACGTAGACACTCGGAGAAGTTTTCCAGGTTCTAGCCTAAATTCTCTTGTTTTTTAAGCAACCAGGGGTTTCTTGCAACATTTATATCTGCCATGGTTTTGAGTATGAAAAGGCATGCTTTTCATTTAAAACTTTTGTAGGGTGCTTGGAGCAAAAATGGGAATGAAAAGAATGATCGCATTCATATTTAATCAAGTTACTTTCATCGATCCGAAGGTACCTTGGGGGTCGATTTCTACTCAAAAGGTCAAAGAAAGTGTCGGGTAATATTTATCGCATTGAATTATTCCTGGCGACAGTTCCAAAACCCCAACTCACTGTGGCAAGATGGCTGCTGTCAACTCGCAAAGCATCCCTGGCCTGCTCTCGAGTTTGCCATAGGCAAGGGGGATGGGAAACCAGCAAAATGGCACAGCAGCCAAAGACAGATGCACATTCCATGCTTATCTCTCTCAAGGCTGTCTCCCAGGGTTACCTACAGCAGCCCGGAGGGGAGTGACCTTTACAACCCGCAAAATTGCTCCGTTGGCGAATGTGATTGATGACACACCCTGGGGGGAGGAGGAAACAGGATCATAATTGAAGCGTAAATTACGTAGGATCAGAGCTGGCTTCACCTGGGAACGTGCCAGACATGAAGCTCATAATAAATAACTGGATTTCTTTTGAAGCTTGGCTCAAGACTCATGATTTAATTAGGGCATCCGTGAGAACTCTGACAGCCGCCGTGAGATGGCCATGGTGTGTTGGCTGTGGCAAGTTGTCCTACCTAGATCTTCTCCAAAGCCACCTTCAGACAAAACTTCTCCAACTTGGAGGTCTCTAAATTTTTGGGGACTGGCTTGGAATTCTGGGAGATGAAGTTCTCTTGCACTGAGAGGCCATCACGGTCGAATAGGATTGCCTGAGATCGCCCAACCCTGGAGGAGACTCACCTCTGCTTGAAGGCTCTCAAGTCGTACTATGTGCTGGTTGGTGGATGACCTCTTCTCCCTGAAGTCCTCTTGGAGGACATGAACCTGTGTGGAAAGCTTTCTTTCCGCTTCCGACGTCTGCAAAATAAGAAGACACCGTCATTTTAATTGACGTTTAAGGGAGCCATGCCTGTAGTTGGCTTAGAGCACTAATCAACTTTGGCGGCTGTTGGAAAAACTAAGTTGGGTTGGATTAATATTTGGATGAGAAATCAACAGGAAACCCAGGGAATATGCCTAGAGGAAGGGAGGGAGGGAGGGGAAGGAAGGAAGGAATGAAAGGGAAAGGAGGGAGGGAGGAAGGAAGAAATGAAAGGGAAGGAAGAAAGGAAGGGGAAGGAGGGAAGGAAGGAATGAAAGGGAAGGGAGGGAGGGAAGAAGGAAGGGGAGGGAGGAAGGAAGGAAGGGAGGGAGGAAGGGGAAGGAAGGGAGGGAGGAAGGAAGGAAAGAAGGGGAGGGAGGGAGGGAGGAAGGAAGGAAGGACTGTTGGCTCATATTCAAGTGATTGTCCACTAGGACTCCAAGATCTCTCTTGCAGTTACTAATGTTGAGCTAGTTACCACCTATCCTATACTTGTGCGTTTGGTTTTTCTTGCTTAAATGTAAAACTTTACTTTTCTAAAAACACCGAATATCGTTTGGTTAGAGAGGGCCCAGTGTTCCAAGTCTGTCAAGATCCATCTATATCTTGAGGGGGGTAGGAGTAAACAAAAGGGGGGTGGGTGGGTAGGAATAAAATGTCAGAAGCATTTATCTCTACCACGCTAATGTAAAACGATCAGATTAACTCCTAACATTTCATTCAAGGCAGTAGAATAACAGAATCCCAGAGTTAGAAGGAACCTTGGAGGTCTTGTAGTCCAGGGGTCAGTAACCTGCGGCTCTGGAGCCGCATGTGGCTCTTTCACCCCTCTGCTGCGGCTCCCTGTCACTCAAAATATGCATCACAACCGCCAATGTGCGACATCCACCAGCACACGATTTATTGAGCTTTTCAATAACCATGGATAAATCCAAGAAAAGAAAAGTTTCAGAAGAAAACAAGGTTTAATTCAACTACATATCCTAGTTTTGTGGCCGCTCAAGAAATCGTCAGGCACGGGAAGGGTTTTTGTGGCTCCCGGTGTTTTCTTTTCTGTGGGGAAACGAGTCCGAATGGCTCTTTGAGTGTTTAAGGTTGCAGACCCCTGTTCTAATCCAACCCCCTGCTTAGATCTCACCAACGATTAATCAAGCATTAATCAGCCGTGAATCACCTGATCTATCAAAATATACCGGTTTTAGGATTTTGACTCCTGCCCACTTTCCTGTTTACCAGGCGGTGGGAGGGCAAGAGACTTCCCGACAGAGAGAAGAGAAAATAAGACTGAGATCGGATGAACTTGTCTTCGATCTCCTCCAGGGACTTGAATAGGCGAGTCTCAGCTGGTTCACCGTGTTGATGGGACTTGGCCTTCTACTAACTAGGCTGCAAACCAGCCTCCTGATTTAGCAGCAGCTTGGAAGGAGAAACCAGAACCATCCATGAAGCTGAGGAACCTTCCTTCCAACCCTGGTTGAGCGTCCTCAGGAACAACCCCGTTCTACAAAGACAGTTGTCGGTCCTGATGAAGGAGCCGCAGTCATCTTGTTCTGCTCGAAGACGCACAGGGGTGGGCTTCAAAAATTTTAAGCAAGGGGTTCTCTGCCCGGTTGCTGGGTGGGCGTGGCCATGGTGGGTGTGGCCTAGTCGGCCTCCTGCACCACAGCGGAGTGGAAGGGCGTTTTTGCCCTCCCCGGGCTCTGGAGGCTTTTCTCGAGCCTCCGGGAGGGCAAAAACGGCCTCCCCAGGCTCCGGAGGCCCTCTGGAGGCCAGAAACGGGCCCATTTCCGGCCTTCCCAAACTTCCGGTAGGCCCATTTTTTACTTTCCCTGAGTCCTGCACTTATCTGCATCCAAAACAAACCACGTGGGGACTCTGGTGGGTTCTAACCGGCTTTACTACCAGTTCTCTTTGTGCACGCGCTTCGCACGCGATCGCTGAAGAGATCGGTTTTGTTGAAAGTTGGATCTAGCCCAATAACTCAAAGACAGACTTTAATTCTTTTCTGTAACTTTATTGTAGGTTCAATGGTACTGGAGGTCACTGACCTTGTACCTTTCTCTTTCAGGTATACATCTGGAATAACCTGTGGACCTCGTGGTCGGAGCTATTATACCCAGGAGGAGGGGCAAAGAGGTAAGGAGTGGTTACAGGGGTTATGGGGCATATGGTTGGTTAACCCTTGCAGGGCCGGGTGATCAGGGAGGTGTAGTAGTTAGACATTTACCATGACAGATTTCACTTAACAGCCGTGGCAGAAAAGGTCCTAAAATGGGTGCAAAATTCACTTAACAAAGGTCTCCACTTAGCAACGGAAATTTGGAGCTCCGTCGTGGTCGTAAGTCGCGAGGACTACCTGCGTTCGGATGATCGACGTGCTGCCCACCGTGTCCAGCTGCATTTTATTAGCAGGAAAGATGCCCGTGATATAAAGAAATAGAGGCAGGCAGGCAGAGAGAGTTTCGCCGAAAATCCCAGCCGTTTCCAACGTCATTTCCTCGTGTCTCCCTCATTATCCCCAGGCTCGCCGTAACGGTACGGTGGAAACCCCCCCAAAAAAACTCAAAAACCCAGGAACCACCATCGGGTTACCATGGCAACAGCAGCTGCCTGGAAGACCGTGATGTACGGTCGCCTAGCAACCGGTGACGGAGGGCTTTTGAGCAGCCGCTGGCCTTGACGTTGGCTGGGATTGATCATCTCGGGCGTGCCCGCCCGGCACGATCTGAACTGTTCTGATGTGCTGAGTGTGGGGGGACGGACGGACGGACGGGGACAGGAGGCACACGTCACCTAGCCAGCATTGGGGAAGGGAGGGGAGGCAGAGGGAACGGAAGCATACGTCGCAGTCAATCCTTGGCTGTATAAACATAGAATCAAAATCGTGAGAGCACCGCTTTAAAAAGACTTAGTGGAATACGACATCCCGTTTTGGTCCCCACGTTACAAAAAAAGATCGTTGAGACTTTGGAAAAAAGGAGCAACTAAGATGATGAAAGGCCTGGAGGAGAGAACATACAGAGAACAGTTGCAGGATTTGGGTCTGGCTAGTCTAAAGAAAAGAAGAATTGGGGGAGGACATGATAGCGGTATTCCACTATTTGAGGGGCTGCCCCAAAGAAGAGGGAGTCAAGCTATTCTCCAAAGCACCGAAAGGCAAAACAAGAAACAATGGATGGAAACTAATCAAGGATTAGGTAATTTTGTACGTTCCTTTTGTAAGCCGCCCTGAGTCCTTCGGGAGAAGGGCGGCATATAAATTACATAAATAAAATAAAATAAATAAATAAATAAAGGAGAGAAGCAACCTAGAACTAAGGAGAAATTTCCTGACAGTGAAAACAATTAACCAGTGGAACGACTTGCCACCAGAAGTTGTGGATGCTCCAACACTGGAAATATTTAAGAAGAGATTGGACAACCATTTGTCTGAAGTGGTGTAGGGTTTCCTGCCTGGGCAGAGGGTTGGACTAGAAGACCTCCAAGGTCCCTTCCAACTCTTATTCTATTCTATCCTCCTTCTCCTCCTTGTATTCCATTCCATTCTATTCCATTCAGATATCAGTATTCCATCTAAACCAGTTTTCCCTATCAGAGTCCTCTACAAGTGTTAGGATTACAATAACAATAGCACTTAGATTTATATACCACTTCATGGTGCTTCACAGCCCTCTCTAAGTGGTTTACAGACGAAGCCTCTTGCCCCCCAACAATCTGGGTCCTCGTTTTACCGACCTCGGAAAGATGGAAGGCTGAGTCAACCTTGAGCTGGTGGGAATCGAACTTTTGAGAAAAACGCCTTTGGGACAACTATGACCTGGATGATTTAAAATCTCTGTAGATATTTAACTGCTGTGACAATCACATTCTTAAAATGAGGTGCGGTTCATTTAACAGGTGCCCTTGCTTGGTGACGTTCAGCTGAATTGTGGTTATAAGTCAAGGACTACCTGTTTGGAACTGAGGAAAAATTAGCTTTCAGAGCTGGCTTCTGTGCAAATTTAGAATGGAATGGAATGGAATGGAATGGAATGGGATGGAATTTAGTTTAGTTTAGTTTAGTTTAGTTTAGTTTAGCTTAGTTTATCTTATCTTAGTTTAGTTTAGTTTAGTTTAGTTTAGTTTAGTTTCGTTTCGTTTCGTTTCGTTTCGTTTCGTTTCGTTTCGTTTCGTTTCGTTGGAAGGGACCTTGGAGATCTTCTAGTCCAACCCCATGCTTAGGCAAGAAACCCTACACCACTTCAAACAAATAGTTATCCAACCTCTTCTTAAAAACTTCCAGTGTTGGAGCATTCACAACTTCTGGAGGAAGGTTATTCCAACGGTTAATTGTTCTCACTGTCAGGAAATTTCTCCTTAGTTCTAAGTTGCTTCTCTCCTTGATGAGTTTCCACCCATTGCTTCTTGTCCTGCTTTCTGGTGCTTTGGAGAATAGCTTGACTCCCTCTTCTTTGGGGCAGCCCCTGAGATATTGGAAGACTGTTATCATGTCTCCCCTAGTCCTTCTCTTCATTAAACTAGACATACCCAGTTCCTGCAACTGTTCTTCCTATGTTTTAGTTTCCAGCCCCCTAATTATCTTTGTTGCAGATCTTCTCTGCACTCTTTCCAGAGTCTCCACATCTTTTTTTATATCGTGGCAACCAAAAATTTACACCCTCCAAGGTAAGCTTCGGAGCTGCAGGGCCATTTGTGCTTATTCTCCGGGTTAAAAACTGGCACCGGCTGTTTTTTGAGATTAAGAAAAACTACAGAAGCATAAAAATCGTAAGCAACATTGCAGAAAAAACATTTTGAGATCCAAGGCTCAGCTCGGCTTCTTCCAAGCTATTAGCTCTGGAAGCAATTAAACTGGCACACCAAAATCCAGCCACTTCGGATAAGGAGATATTTTTTAATCGTAGGACAGGTAAGCAACCATTAAAGAAAGAGTGCCAAGGGACTGCTGTATACAGGTACTCCTCCTCTTAGGAAGGAAGGAAGGAAGGAAGGAAGGAAGGAAGGAAGGAAGGAAGGAAGGAAGGAAGGAAGGAAGGAAGGAAGGAAGGGCTATAGCACTTAGACTTACATACCGCTTCACAGTGCTTCACAGCCCTCTCTAAACGGTTTACAGAGTCAGCCTCTTGCCCCCAACAATCTGGGTCCTCGTTTTACCCATTTCGGAAGGACAGAAGGCTGAGTCAACCTTGAGCTGGTTAGGATTGAACTGCCAAACTGCTGGCAGCCGGCAGTCAGCAGAATTAGCTGCAGTACTGCAAACCTTGGACTGCAAGGCGATCCATCCGGTCAGTCCTAGAGGAGATCTACCCTGACTGCTCTTTAGAAGGCCAGATCCTGAAGAGGAAGCTCAAATCCTTTGGCCGCCTAATGAGAAGGAAGGACTCCCTGGAGAAGAGCCTCATGCTGGGAACGATGGAGGGCAAAAGAAGAAGGGGACGGCAGAGAACGAGGTGGCTGGATGGAGCCACTGAAGCAGTCGGCGGGAGCTTCAATGGACTTCGGGGGATGGTGGAGGACAGGAAGGCCTGGAGGAATGTTGTCCACGGGGTCGCAATGTAACAACAACTGCAACCACTGTGCCACCAGGATGACTTTAAGGGACAACGGAGTTCCCAACAACTGCAACAGAGCCGGCCGCATCAACAGCAACCGTCCGTCCCCTCCCCCATGGCCAAGGAGGCCTCCCTCACCTTGCTGAGCTGGTCCAAGAGTCTTTGGTTCTGTTCAGATAGTTCCTGGACCGCCCGCGTCTTCTCCCGGTCAGCTTCCCGCAGGTGAACCTGCTGTTTCTCTAGCTCATCCTGCAGCTGCTTGACGTCGCTCTCCAGCTCCGACACTCGGCCTTCCCACTCGCCTTCCTTGTTCTCGAAGCGTCTCCTGAGCTCGTGTTTCTCTTGTTCCAGGTGCTGCATCGGGAAAGGAAAAAAATAGAATAATGAATGGAGTGGAATGGAATAGAAAAAAGGAATAGAATAGAGTAGAGTAGAGTAGAGTAGAGTAGAGTAGGGTAGGGTAGGGTAGGGTAGGGTAGAATAGAATAGAATAGAATAGAATAGAATAGAATAGAATAGAATAGAATAGAATAGAATAGAATAGAATAGAACAGAACAGAACAGAACAGAACAGAACAGAACAGAATAGAACAGAATAGAACAGAATAGAACAGAATAGAATAGAATAGAATCTGGAAGGGACCTCCCTCCCTCCTTTCTCTTTCTTCTTTCTTTCTTTCTTTCTTTCTTTCTTTCTTTCTTTCTTTCTTTCTTTCTTTCTTTCTTTCTTTCTTCCTTCCTTCCTTCCTTCCTTCCTTCCTTCCTTCCTTCCTTCCTTCCTTTTTTTCTTTCCTTTCTCTTTTTCCCTAGGCCACGCTGAACCGTTGCAGTTGTTAAATGAGTCACATGGTTGTTAAGCGAATCTGGCTCTCCCCATTGCCTTTGCCGCTCAGAAAGCTGCCAAAGAGGATCACGTGATAGCCCCCCCCCCTCCCCAGGGACACCACGACCATCCTAAATGTGAGTCAGATGCCCACGCCTCTGAATTTTGATCACGTAATCCCAGGAACGCTGCGACAATCCCAAGTGTGAAAAACGATCACCAAGTGACTTTTTTCAGTGCTGTTTTCAGTAACTTCAGTCACTAAATGAGTGGTTGTAGGTCGAGGACTACCTGTCATTCCCCTAATGAGTTCTTTAGAAAAACAATACAGATACATACATAGATTTTTTTGGAATGCGACAGCAAAACCTGTAGGACTTCAACTCCCAGAATTCCCCAGCCAGCAAAGCCTGGAGGACTTCAACTCCCAGAATTCCTCAGCCAGCAAAACCTGGAAGACTTCAGCTCCCAGAATTCCCCAGCCAGCTGGCTGGGGAATTCTGGGAGTTGAAGTCCTCCAGGTTTAAAGTTGCCAAGATTGGAGACCCTGGTCTAATAACCTCAAGGGCAAATAAACTGGAAACCCCTGTTTTTAAAACTGCCTTTTCTTTAATTTTTTATTTTTAAGGGCAGAGAATTTTCATTGTGGCCTGTTGCCGTGTTGTCCAATCCCGAATTGCAGATCTGTTTGGGAGCCTTGTTCCAGGGCTTAAAAAAAAAGTGGAGAATCCCCCACTCCCCGTTGGCCGCTTTTTTTTTTTTTCAAAGAGATCGGCGCAAAAGCTTTTTTTTTTGTTGTTTTTTTTAAACAGAACGCTTGGCTGCTTTTGAATGCCGAAAATGTCTTTTCTCAGCGGCTTCCTGTTTTCCTAAAATGCATTCCAGCAAAAGGTCAAAGGAGGTTTTGACTGGAGCAGGCAGCAAAAAAAAAAACCAGGTCCAGGCAGGAAAAGAATTAAAGCCCAGTTTATATAAATCGGATTGAATGACTGGTGTGTGTGTGTGTGCAGAAGCAGACGAACCCAGCTTCACACGGACAGATGGAGCCCTTGGGAATAAAGAACATTTTGAGCTCTTCCAACGGAACAAACAGGCGAGGCCCGTGTTGGCCAACCGATGGCACGCGTGCCTGAAGTGGCATGTGGAGCCATGTCGTCTGGCACGCCAGCCGTCACCCCAGCCCAGCTCTACCAGTGGTGAAATCTAATTTTTTTTTAACTACCGGTTCTGTGGGCGTGGCTTGGTAGGCATGGTGTCGCTTGGTGGGCGTGGCAGGGGAAGGATACTGCACAATCTCCATTCCCTCCCCACTCCTGGGGGAAGGATATTGCAAAATCCCCATTCCCTCCCCACTCCTTGGGGAAGGATACTGCAAAATCCCCATTCCCTCCCCACTCCTTGGGGAAGGATATTGCAAAATCCCCATTCCCTCCCCACTCCAGGGGAAGGATATTGCAAAATCCCCATTCCCTCTCCATGCTGTTCTCTCCTCTGCCTGTGTTTTTTGCCTGTAACTACTACCACGTTGGAAGAATCTGCTGTTGGTATTGTATGTGTTATTATGTATATGAAGAGAAGTTAATGAATCCTGCGGAATCAGTTACCTGTGTGTGCTTTCTGGATGTGATTTGTGCAACAAACTCTGGCAATTCGCTGTTTAATTTGGTTAGTCCATGAAACCATGATATGTTTGTTTGTTTGTTTGTTTGTTTGTTTGAGCACTGCTACCAACTTGTCTTTTGTTCATCCAAGGTTAAGGTTGAGCATGCTGGGTGAACCCAACCAAAATTCCATTAAACAGTTTATATCCAAGATATATCGAGGGTAACCTAACTGCTAGTGAATAATCCCTTATGATTTTAACCAGTGGTGAAATCCAAATTTTTTTTACTACCGGTTCTGTGGCCGTGGCTTGGTGGGCATGGTGTTGCTTGGTGGGCATGGCAGGGGAAGGATACTGCAAAATCCCCATTCCCTCTCCACTCCTGGGGGAAGGATAATGCAAAATCTCCATTCCCACCCCACTCTGGGACGAGCCAGAGGTGGTATTTGCCGGTTCTCCAAACTGCTCAAAATTTCCGCTACCGGTTCTCCAGAACCTGTCTGAACCTTCTGGAGTTCACCCCTGATTTTAACCTTCTGAAAGGAAACTTAAGAAATGGAGACAGTTTTAAGAAAGAGAGATAGAATTAATATCCCCTCTCCCCTCAAAATTGTTTCCTAGGCTTGATCATCAGGAAAACATGGGATTCCCAGACAGGTTTTCCACAAATATCTGTGCCCCATATTAATCCAGGCATAGGGGACATTATGGACCTCAGATAGGAGAAGCCCTACAAATGACCAGCGTCTGGGGTCTGGGATCAAGAAACAAGCTTCAAAGCCACAGCGGGAAGGAAGGAAGACAGTCCTGAAGATGGAATACCTTGGACCAGCTGTGAACAGATGTAAAACAAAGGTAAAGTTTTCCCGTCCAGCCATGTCCGACTCTAGAAGTGGATGTTCATCTCTCTTTCTTAACCGAGGTAGCCAGTATTGTCCGAAGATGCTTCTTTGGTCATGTGGCCAGCAAAGGCTCATGGAACCCCTGTTAACTTTCCACCAAAGTGGTACCTATTTATCTGCTCGCATTTTGCATGCTTTCGAACTGCTACGTGGGCAGGAGCTGGAGCAAGGAACGGGAACTCACCCCCATCGCGCGGTGCTCGGGTCTCAAACCTGGGCTGCTGGCTTTCTAGCTGAAAAGCTCACCATCTTTAACCACCCAGCCATCGCACCTCTCTTAAACCATCTTCATTTGTCCAAGATGGCCTCACCCAAGGCCGCAGGGATCGAAAATCATACAACGAAGAAAACTAGCGGGGCTCAACCAGGAGATAAGCAAACTCCAAGTTCTTGAAGACGTACAATTATGAGGCCAACTCCTGTCTGCCAGATGGTTGACCATGAAAGGACATCCAAGCCATTCCATCAAAGGCCAGGCTCATGAACTCACTTCTCCTGATCCAGGGAACAAACCACCAATGTCTGGATTTAAAAGGGCCATGCCAGAACTAGAACAATCACGACAAACATTGCTTAGTGTACTACACGGAAAGCAGTACACGAACTCATCGGTGACTTGGCAACAGATGGAGACAAGAATCATACGCTTACCCACTAGTCTGATAAAGGATTTATTTTATGGCCTTCGGTTAGCTTAATGGTGCCAAATGGTAACAGACACAACATCGGGAGGAGCTGCCCCTTCCCAATGGGACAAGCCCACCCCACTCACGCCAGTAGAAGAGGTCAGCTATGGATCCCATCTACTAAGGAATTGAAGCAGTGGTGAAATCCGAACCAGTTTGCTACCGGTTCGCTGGCCACGTATGCGCGCCGTGCACCAAATGTACTTTGCGTGCACATGCGCAGTGCACGCCAAAAGGAGGCTTGGGAAGGTAAGTAGAACCTTAGCTTCCCAAGCCTTATTTTTGGGGAAACAGGGTAGTGCCAAGGATAGTAGGTTGGATCCGGAATGAACGTGGCCAGACAGATGGTAACTAATAGGAATAAAAGTCCTACTAAACCACAAAAGCTACAAAACTATGAAAGTTTTGGTGGATTCATCTTATAGTAAATTGTGGCTTGTTCAGCTCAGCCCAAAACGTATCTAAATAGTATCAAAGACCGTAGACGGGTTACAGAATGACCGTGGTCAGATCCATAGCAAGCAGTGGAGAACAGTCCTGACTAAGCTAGGAAAACTTCACCTTGTAGTAAGTTCACCTTGTAGTAAGTTCACCTTGTAGCAAGTGTGTTCAACTCAGATCTCAACAACCCAAACTGACCTACAAGAAGCCATCCATCCTGGCCTAACCCTAACCCTAACCCTAACTCTGGGTTCACACATAACATTAACTCTCAACACACAAACTGAGTATAAACTGTGGATCGAATCATTTACCGGACTTAATCCAGCTAAACCCAGTTTTAATTGCTCAGTTTTCCACCCCGGAGCTGCACTGTTGGAGTTGAGCAAGCTTTATTTAGCCTTAAAAATAAATATTTTCAGCCAAGTGGTCATCAGTTAAATCTGTATTGCTTCTGTATTATTTCTAGAAAGGTTGAGATTTGAATTTTAGCCTGTCTGAATAGGGTTGTTGTAGTTGTTTTAATTATTATTTTATTTGATTTATATGCCGCCCTTCTCCGAAGACTCAGGGCGGGCTTACAATGCGTTAAGCAATAGCCTTCATACTTTTGTATATTTATACAAAGTCAGCTTATTGCCCCCACAAACCGGGTCCTCATTTCACCTACCTTAGAAAGGATGGAAGGCTGAGTCAACCTTGAGCCTGTTGAGATTTGAACTTGCAGTAATTGCAGGCAACTGATGTTAATAACAGGGTGCTTTAGACCACTGTACTACCAAGGCTCATTGTTGAAGCTTCATCTTGAATCATGGTTAGCACTGGCTGTCTTTAACACGTGCATTGAGGACTTCAATTGGGGAAGGGGTGTCTCAGGTCCCCAAAGTATCAAACTTTAACCTGGGATCCAATATCTTGAACAGGCAAAAGGAGGAAATCCAGTCAAGCACCCAGGATGGTTTAACACAGTAACAGAGGTGGAAGGGACCCTGAAGGTCATCTAGTCCAACCCCCTGCTTATGCGGGAGACCCTTTAAATGCCCAGGGGGGAGAAACCAGCATCGACCCGCCATCGAAGGGAAGAGTCCTAATTTCTAACTTGACAGAATTCAACAAGTGATGGCGAGCTCAACAATTCTGGCGGTGAAGAAGTTCCCCCGAGGCTGCAACGGGCTTGGCCGGGTGTCGAGATGTGCGCACAACCCCCTCAGCTGAGAACCCAGGTTAATGACCCACTAAGGGTGGGGTTCATTTAATCAGTGAGAAGACCTCCCCCCCCCAAGCTAAACAATATTTCGTGGTTTTAACAAAAAAGGCTTGGAATTCAACCAGAAAACCCCAAAATCTTGTTTTAGCCTCGTTCAATATCCTGTACAAATCCAGGAAAGTGGATTTGGTCTAGACCTGAGTAACGGTTGAGTAAATACATTTGGGCCTATTTATGTAACCACCATCACCTTAAATAATCTGGTGTCCCATTCGTCTCCATTCCCTCCCCCATGAAAAGATTACAACTCCCATCATTCTCAACCAACTCAGACCTTGAGGAACTGTGCTCTCCCAACACCCCCCCCCCCAAAAGACCTGGAGCATGGGCCTATATGACTACTCCCAAATGTATTTTCCTTCTTTCCTCTTGCTTTCCTGCACGTGACATTCATTCATTCAATCAATCAATCCTGGTTTGCCGGCCTTCCAAAACCTCACGGCTTCTTTTTCGGAAGCTCTGCCTTGGACCAGGGGAATCCCACCCCTCTCAACAACGAGACTCTTTCTCTCTCCCCCCCACACCCTTAAATCAAGGTTTCCAAGGTGCCAACCCTCTGCAGCTTTCCCCAATCCTGGTGCTCCGGACATCATGTCCCATGACTCCCTCTCCCCTCTTCCTGGCTACGAATTCTGGGAGCTGTAGTCCCAACCCCAACCCCCCCCCCCCAGGAAGGGCTGCTCTAAAGCCAGAAAGAAAAAATTCTCTCTCTCTCTTCTCTCCCTCCCTCCCTCCTCCCTCTCTCCCTCTCTCTCCCCTCCCTCCCTCCCTCTCCCTTCCTCCTCTCCCTCCTCCCTCTCCCTCTCTCCCTCCCTCCCTCTCCCTCTCTCTCTCCCTCCCTCCCTCTCTCTCCCTCCCCCTCTCCCTCTCCCTCTCTCTCTCCCTCCCCCCTCCCTCTCCCTCCTTCCTCTCCCCTCCCTCTCCCTCCCTCTCTCTCTCTCCCCTCTCTCTCCCTCTCCTCTCTCTCCCTCCCTCCCTCTCTCCCCTCCTCTCTATCCCTCCCTCCCCCCCCTCTCTCTGTGATGGAATCTGGCCCAGGTAGAGAAGGCAGGGCAGGAGCGCAACTCAACCCGGGAGAGATGCTCTCTGCACATGGTCAGGGGGGGCGACCTCCCCCTCGGGCATCTCCAAAGGGGAAAAAGTCAGCCGATTCTCCCCAAACCGACGAATCCTGAGTCACACCGCCCGGGCCTTTCCAAGCCTCGCCCTGCCCTGCCCTGCCCCCCCCCCCCACCTCAAATACGGCTTCTTCTCACCTCCAGCTTGTCGGTCAACTCCTTGTACATCCTCTCGTATTGGCGGCTCATGTCCTGGTTCCGCTCCAGCAAGGCTTTGCCCAACCGGGCGGCCAGCACCAAATCTTTCTCCTTCTGCCTCATCTGCGACAGCAGCAGCTCCGGCTCGGCTGGGGAAGCCGCGGGGCCTGGCGGCTCGTTTTCCCCGGGCCCTTCCCCGGCCGAAGCCAGCATGGCCAGCTCCTCCTCCAGCGCCAGCTCCAGCTCGCCGCCCACGGCCGAAGAAGAAGACGACGGAGCCGCAGCGGGAGCCGCATCCGAAGCCGGAGCAAGGAGAGCCGCAGCGAAGGCGACCGAGCCCGAAGCCGTTGCAGGCGGCTGGGCTGAGCCGGCCGTCCCCGGACCGTTCTCCATGCGGCAGGCGCTGTCCAGCTCGGGTGGTGCTGAAAGGGCTGCGGCGATCCAAGAGGCGGACACGGCCGGGCTCCGGGCCACTCCAGGCTCAGCGGCGGCCGAGGAAGGAGCCCGGAGCCCGCCACGGGACGCCGTCCGCCCGCTCTCCACCACCCGCTCCTCCTAGTCCGTCCGCCGGCCGGGGAAACGCGCGAAGGGCAAGGCTTTTACTCCACCCGCGGGAGCCGCCTCCGCAGCCCGGCGGCGCTCTCAAAGCGAGCCGGCCGCCCGGCCGGCGTTGGAGCCGAGTGGGGCGTTGCTGCTGCGGGGGCAGGGGATGATGGGTCTTTTTTTCTGCTGCTGCTGCTGCTGCTGCGGCCGGCGCCCCGCTTGGCAGCCCCGCGCGCCGAGCCCCATCGCCGCCCGAGCGCCGGCCAAACATCGCGGGAAGCTCGCGAAGCCACCGGTGGCGGCGGCGGGCGGCGGCGGAGGAGGGGAGGCCGGATCTTCCCCCCCCCCACCACACCTCCCCTCCCCCCCCTCCAGAGCCCGTGACGCCAGCAAACACCTGTTCGGCCGAGGGCTCGGATTGGTCGAGACGGGTGTCTCCACGGCCCCGCCCACAGGTGTTAAAGACTCAGCTCTCCCCCCTTCCCGTTCCCGGGCTTAACCCCTTCCCCCCTCCCCCCCCCTGCCCGTTCCCGACTGGCATCGGAATGTTCGCCTCGCCTGTTTGGGTGCGGAGGGCTCTGCCCGGTCCCGGCTGTTCTTTGGGGCGAGAGGAAACCGGGGTTCGGGTGGAAAAGGCCAGGAAAGGCCAAGAAAGCGTTTCTCAAGGTGGACAACTTTAAGATGTAGACTTCAACACTCATTCATTCAATTCCTCAATCAGCGTGTTGTAAGATGGGTAGGCTTCTTAATACCGAATTCCCCAGCCAACATATTTTAAGTTATTAAAAGATGTGTAGACTTCAACTCCCAGAATTCCCCACCCAGCATGCTTTAAGATGTGTAGACTTCTTAATACAGAATTCCCCAGCCAACATATTTTAAGATGTGTAGACTTCAACTCCCAGAATTCCTCAATCAGAGTGTTTTAAGATGTGTAGACTTCTTAATACAGAATTCCCCCAGCCAACATACTTTAAGATGTGTAGACTTCAACTCCCAGAATTCCTCAATCAGAGGGTTTTAAGATGTGTAGACTTCTAATATAGAATTCCCCAGCTAACATATTTTAAGATGTGTAGACTTCAACTCCCAGAATTCCTCAGCCAGCTTGCTTTAAGAACTTGGTTTCATATGCTGCAGGAAGCCAACATTTTGTAAATACCGGCAGAAATGAAATCAGCTGCAATTGGCTAGGTTCCACAACATTCCAAGCCATAAACTGGGTTTTTTTTTTAAATAATTATGGTTGATGGCATATTTGTGGTGCACTAAGCTGAGACCAATTCACAATATGCATTTTTTGGGGGGTGGGGAATGTAATCCAGGGTTATAATAACTATCATGAATTATTCAACAAACAACAGCTGAGCAAACCTAAGTTGGACACAATTTGCAGGCAGGCCCAACCAGGATCCCAAATGGGTGTGATGTTGTGATGAAAGTACAAAAGGGAAGGTGTGATGCTCTCTCTCTTCTCCTCCTCCCTCAAACCCCTCCCCGGTCCTCTTACCAATTTGGGAACCAGATCGTCGTACAATGCAGGGGTCCCCCAAACCCCTTTAAGACTTGTGGACTTCAACTCCCAGAATTGTGCTATGCTGGCTGGAGAATTCTGGGAGTTGAAGTCCACAAGTTTTAAAGCTGCCAAGTTTGAAGACCTCTGCGTACAATGGCTAGTGCTTCTGTTCCAGAAGAGAAGAGGAAAAAAAAAAAAAACCAATAACCCCAATAGAAAGTATCCCATTCGGGAAGATTTCACACGTAATCCTTCTGGCCTGATTACCCAGATCCACTGAATAGTCTATCTCCAAATCTCTTTCCAGAGTCTAGCACACAAAGGGATTACGGATCGAGAGCTTTAATCCACCCCGAACAAAGAGCTTTGCCCTAGATTCTTCAGCCCGAGCTGCAGGAGAAGGGTGCACAATTCATACAACAATGGCTGGAAAGTATGCGACTGCAACAGTGTGCCAGTTCTCAGTGGGCCCCGCAGTGGGTCACGTCACCGCATCGGCCTACCCGCAGCTCCCTTCACACAGCTCGCTCTGGGGACGGCAATGTTTTGTTTACTGCACGATCCCCCCATTAATCTGCAGTCCCAAACAATCTGTCATTGTCCTCCGAATGTAATTATCCGATTGCCGCGGGCAGGGAAAAATGGAGGGCTTGCTTTTGAAGTCTCTTATGCATTAACGGGCCCCTTTTGCTTCACTGTGCTTGGGAGAAGCGGAGCCAAAGGTCGCTCGTCGGGATCCCAATCCATAGGGCGAATGCTTTTTTAATGGAGGATGCGTAGGGGAATAAATTTGGGGTAAACTGTCCGTCGAGTTGTATTCTGCGATCTGGGTGGCTAGCATCTCAACCTCTCAGCTGGAGGAAGTCAGGCATGGTAAGAAAAAAGTCAGGGAAATCTAGGACTGCAGGTCAGAAATAGAATCACAGAGTTGGAAGGGACCTTGGAGGTCTTCTAGTCCAACCCCCTGCTTAGGCAGGAAACCCTACACCACTTCAGACAAATGGTTGTCCAATCTCTTCTGAAAGACTTCTACTGTTGGAGCATTCACAACTTCTGGAGGCAAGTTGTTCCACCGATTAATTGTTCTCACTGTCAGGAAATTTCTCCTTAGTTCCAAGTTGCTTCTCTCCTTGATGAGTTTCCACCTGTTGCTTCTTGTTCTGCCTTCAGGTGCTTTGGAGAATAGCTTGACTGCCTCTTCTTTGGGGCAGCCCCTGAGATATCTGCTATCCTGTCTCCCCTGGTCCTTCTTTTCATCAAACTAGACATATCCAGTTCCTGCAACCGTTCTTCATATGTTTTAGCCTCCAGTCCCCTAATCATCTTTGTTGCTCTTCTCTGCACTCTTTCTAGAGTCTCAACATCTTTTTTACTTTGTGGCGACTAAAACTGGTTGCAGGATTCCAAGTGTGGCCTTACCAAGGCATGATAAAGTGGTATTAACACTTCACGTGATCTAGGTCAGACTGGAAAATACAAAAAAGAAGACTTCTATATTGGACAGTACATGGAAGAGGGAATGGCATTGGGGGACAGGGGGAACAGCTACTACCGAGTCAGATAAATGGGGTTTGAGTCTGGGCCAAGAAGATAGCTTGAAAAACCATCTCAGACCTGGCCCTCCCTACTTCTACTCGGAAAGTTTTGTCCCAGACTTACTAATACTTGGCATGTTTCATTGCTCACACCCCTCTCTTTCAAACAATGGCGTCGTTGTTACATAAGGAGCAAGATCGGTGTAAGAACGTGCTGTGTTTGGCATTAAGAGCAAGGCCTGCCAGTGATTTATTCTTCCTCTCAATGCCTTCTTAATTGGCAGGTAGCAGCGTTTGATCACGTTTCATTTTAGCTCAGCTCTTAGTCACCGGGTATTGTTTTATTTTTCAGGATACGGGAAGCGTTACAGCGCGTGTCTCATCTCATTGTCAAGTTGCTATAGTGACTCAGGTTTGAACCACGACTTTCAACATGGACCAACCAAAAAAAAAAGTGTCTTGGGAATAGAAGTCCACGCATCTTAAAGATGCCAAGGTTGAAAAAAAATAGTGTATTGTTTCTTTTGTTTATATATTGTTTATATATTGTTCATATTGTTTCCAAATATGATTTGATTGCTTATGTGTACCTTATGACTATCATTAAGTGTTGTACCTTATGATTCTATTCTATTCTATTCTATGGAATGGAGAATAGAATAGAATAGAATAGAATAGAATAGAATAGAATAGAATAGAATAGA